CCTGTCAGAGATATTCACCGAACTCACCTCAAGCACTGAGCATCTTTACAAAAGGATCACGCTGCAGTGTTCCCCTTGAACAGGAGCCCTTTTTTCAGGTGATGTCCTTTTGTTGCTCTTAAATTTTAAATGCTTGCTTAGACTTGGATGAGCAAAAGGGAAGAAGCATCAGACAGAAACTGAACTCCCTCGAAAGCCAATCTTGGACCCTGCAACTTTGTACTTGTGCCTTCCACGAACCTCCAAGACAGGGCTATGGGGAGCGTGGGGAGAGCGACCACTTGTTAAGCCCGTAGTATAGCCTGATTTCACACTCTGGCGCTAGTCGGCGCGTTTGCGTCCAACTTCGTGCGCCATGCAAGGGTACTGATTCAGCAAGTCGGCGCAGCTTGCGTCCTGGTGGGGTGTATATATATTTATATATGTATGGTTGCCGTTGAACTCGACTTCCATGCGGCAAGATCTTGTGTGAGCAGACTTCTTGTTGTCATACCATTGGGATTTGAGCAAACTTTGCAAGACCCCTTCCAGGTGGGGTCCTCTCAAATACATTTTCCGTCATAGGCTTAAGATTGTGCAAGAGAACTCAGAACTCACCCCCCCCAGTCCCTGGATTGTATACTTGTTGGGAAGGCCATCTTAATGGCAAACAATAAGTTTAGACTATATAGTCCTTTTTGGGTTTCAAGCTTTACTCGGGAAATGTGAGGAATGTAAGAAGGCATTTTGCCCACGATTTGGTTCCAGGGGGGTTCGCGCAGGAGAACCCGCCGAGCTGGTCCAGAAGCTTTGGGATCCCAAGCTGTCGAACCTGTTCCTCACGGCGCGGGACGTTTCGCCGGGGCTTTTTCACGATCCGAGCTGCGCATGTTTTTTTTTTCTTCCGGATGCCCGAAATCTGTTGGCAAAGGGAACAAGAAACGACAATTCCCCCGTAATGAGCCGTGCTTTTGTGGTGATGATTGGTTTTCTTGAGTTTACTTGCCATATTTAGAGCATCTAACGTTACAAGCTCACCTGGGGCTAAACGAGCTCGGGTGCCGTGATGAAGGTCCTCAAGTAAGGATGGTTGCATTGCCGGTGATGTGGGAATGGTAATTTGCCCAGCTAAAGTGAGGATTGAGGGGTTTCGGTTTGTTTCTTTTCCTTTGCCTTTATTTAGACGGTCATTTCTGTTGCTTTGAACATCGGAACCTGAGAGCAAGCAGGAACTCTAGGGTTCCTTGGGAGCCGCTTCCTCGAAGTCCACCCTGAGAAAGCTGAACTGAGCGCGGGGTACCCCGGAGTTTCATTCATGACAAATTCATGGTTCCATTTTGCCTCTTGCAGGAAGGCATGGGGGTGCTCGGTGGCCTTGGGCTTCTTTTAAGCGAGCCTTGGGCCCTGTGTCGGGCATGCTGATGTGTCGTTGTTGATTCCACCTGTTCCAAAGCCCCAATAGGAATGGCCCACAGGCGAGTCCAAACGGTACCTTCACGGGATGGAGTTTTGGGTCAAGGTCAAGCCTCCGGGGGCCACGTTTGATCTCCTTTCATGTTTGGCTTTGCTACCCGCGGGCCAGAATCCAAATGCTGAGGCGTTGGCAACTCCTGCACTTTTAGGATTGTTGGGAGGCTCACTCCCCGAGTTGCTAGATTCTACACTTTTGGGGAAGACCACTTTGCTGGAAGTTCGAAGCAAACAGGGCCAGTCAACTCAGAAGAAGAGGGCAACCCAGTTTTTCGCGCTTTCCACAACATGCCCGAAACCTGTCTCTTTAAAAAGCAATTCGAAGAAGACGAGGTGACGGGGCCAGGCTGTGGGCGCAAGGATCCTAGGTGTGCTGAAACGCGGGAGGACCCGCCAATGACCTGAGGCGAAGTCCCTATTCGAGGCACAACTTTCCAATTGGCAAGCTGACAAGACGGGATATTTTTCCCAAATGAACGGACTACACCAGCACAAAACCCGACATCCCCAAACCAAATACTTCGACCATAGGGCCGTAGGGTTTTGGCCTGACTGGGATGTAGCGCACTACGGACTACGGATATGGGTGTCTCTTTTTCTAGGAACTCCCCCTCCCCCCAAGAAATCACAGCACCAAAAATGGGCTACCCCCAAAGAAAGACAGACCCAGATGGGAGAACCTGGGGTGGAAAATCCGAGACCAATCTTCGACCGAGGCTTTTGGGCATCCGGGCAACCCCGCAAATTGATGTGGGAGGAAATTTAAGTGAATCGACACGGATAAATGAGCCTGTAAATAATTAGAACAATTAGGGTTGTGTTTCCTTCAAAATTGAAATGTCAGGATAATGTCTCTTAACGTGGGGGTTAGAGGAAGTAGTACGGAAAAAAGGTACACACGTTTCCGTGTCAGGTCAATGATCACTGTAAACGGCAGAACAGTTACAAAGATTGAGATCTTTGCCAAGAGTAGCCCAATTCTTCAGTGACACCTTTTCCCCCTTTGCAGAGGCTTCCCCACTAGAGGGCCAACTGCACAAACCGATTCCAAGTCTTTTCCCGGGGTCATTGGTCACAACTGTTTTCGTGCGCTTACCGCAGTTGGCGGTTGGGCGCCCTCAGCTTGTGATGGTCAGCCCCGGAAGCTGATCGGACAGTTTCGGGTAGGCTTCTTCTGCTCCGCTGACCAACATGGAATCCCAATAGCAATCATTTCTAGAGAAAGTAGGCCGGCCAAACGTTTCCCAAGTTTATGGGGCAAAAGACAGTGAAGGTTTGCGGGTAGCAAAAGGGCCCCAAGGACTTGTAGGCATTTAGGAAGGTGTATGGAGGTGGGCTTCCTCTGAAGTCAACTTCCGGAAACTTTGTTTTTTGCCTCTGGCCACTGGAGGTTTGGGTCCAGAAAGCGGGTCAGCTCGCACTCTCAATTTGCGCAGGTGCTCCACTACAATGTGAGTCAGCTGTAGGGTTCATCTGGGTCCCTCCAAGTTGCTCACTTGCTGGCACCTGTTGGGCTTCCACATTCAAGGCCCCGTTTTCTCAGGGTATCCCCATCAATTCCATAACTCCAGTCACAGGGTTACTACCATGGACTCCTCATGCAACCTGTATGAGACTGGGCTAACTAGGCTAACTTTGGTTTCAACATGTTTGCCGTGCTCTGCATTTTGCTGAGCGAACCGATTCGAGGGTAATCACCTGGGTTCCATGACCTGTTTCAGGTTGTGCGGACAATTTGCAAACCAAGCGAATCAGCTAGATTCTGGGTGCTAAAGCACACATATAATCCTTGATTTCCACCCTAAACGAAGCCAAAAGGATGGGTAACTGTTTCTGAACAGGGCTCTGAATCACCCATGCCGGCCTTTGTATCAAAGGCGCACTCGGCTTCTCTTGGCCGGAGGCTGCAGAGGCTTGTGTCCCATCTCGGAGCTTCATGGTACTGAATTGTGGAACGGAGTTGGCGGTTTAGGACTGGGGGACAGGTGATTAATGTATCTTTTATCATGGCTAAATATGCACTTTTTGAGCAGTTGCCCCACAACGCACTCCCTTTGACGGTCAGCCCCAACAACGCGTCCCATTCTTTTTACATCAGTTTCATTGGGAGACTGTCTTTCAACAGGCTAATTAACATGGGGTCCTGTTATATGCCAAACTTGTCCTCAAATTGATGGCACAACGACCCCTCGCGCAGCTGCCATTTTATTCAGACTCCTCCCTTGCAGAGGGCCGTGCGGGGGGTGCACCCTTGGCGTGGGACAACCTTGTTCCTATCCAAGGATAACTTTCAGCAGTTAGTTGTGCAAACCTCGAACCGTTTAACTTTCCTCATGGAAGGTTCGTTTTATAGGATACAGGTGCTTTGTGCTCAGATTGCGTTCTTGGAGCACGAGGTGATAAGGTGATTGCCTTTGATTCTTAGGCGCGTGAACTGAGACGATTGAAGCTCTCTTGGACATCCGATACCTCTGACTATAGCCTCAACCAGTTTGTTTTGGGAAGGGCAGGGCCTGTATTGGCCTGGCAGCGAGGGGCCAAGGAGGATAACTCCATAGCCAGAGTTCCTGGATTTGTCTCACTTTTTGGCACGGCGAGACCGCAAGATTCATTGGGGTGGCCATGCGATTCCGACCCTTCAGTCAACACGAAGGTTCCTTCAACCAGTTTTGGTGGGTTCTGTCAGTGCAACCAGCCATGGGTCAAGAATTGATATCTTACGTCCCTACGTTTGGAGTAAAATATTGACCAACATAAGTTGTTGTTATTCCTGCTTGCGATATTTGTGCGAAACAACCATGTTTGTGAGGCAGCTGCCCTGATCCTTTCAGAAGGGAGAGACTTGGTACAGAATTTAATTCATGTGATCACGCGGAACGGGAGCCCAGGATTGAACAACCCGGCCTCGTTCATGTTCTTTTTAGAGGGCGGTGCTGCACTCTTTTGGTGGAACCCGCCCTCACAATCCGCTAGGTCTGTGTCAACAGCGTACCCGTGTCACGCGCGAAACCTCGCACCCCTTGGTTCACAGGACGGAACTCGCCGATAAGATCTCGAGCAATGCCTCAGCGATGTTCACGACTCCAACTCCGGTCGCAATCGCGGCTCGCATCAAGGATTTCCCCGACCTCTTGACCCAACTCATCAAGGGCATCTTCCCTGGTTCAGGCCCCCCTTTTGAAGTGCTCTTTTTTAATGAGTTTTTTATTTATTTATTGGGGCTGAGAAGAATAGTCCCAACCTGCGTTGCTTTGGTGGTTCACCTTTTGGTTTGGTCAGGCACACAGCAGCCTGCGCAGCGCCTGCAAAAAGTAGCTTCAGCCAAACTTGAACAAACCTTTGCACTATGCCTGGCAAGGGGGGCAGCTACCCAAGTAGACGATGAATATGCCATGTTGGTTCTCAGAAAGCTCAATAATTGCGCAGTTGATACAATATGACATTTTTATGGTGGTCTCTGGAAGAGTGTTTTTTTTGAAGAGGCCTTCTGGGTGCCATGTTAAGACGCGAGGGCACCCTTTGCGAGGCGGCAAACAACATCGATCTCCCGGCAAGCGCTCAACACTTTTGGCTCGAGAGCCATGTTCTGCTGCTGCTCCACCGAGAATGAGGCGAGGCTTGCTTTGGGGTTGTCTTCGAACAAACAACGCCCCAAACGCGAATTGGCAATGTTGGTAGGTGGTTCTGCTAATTACTTGGCTCTATGAGAGTGGAAGTAGACTAATTATGGAAGTGGAACCAGGCATCAATGGGTTTTGGGCACTGCAGGCTTTCTCCGACCCTCAAAACAACCAAACCACGAAGGTAAACAATTGCAGTTGCTATTTGTTTCCCGTTCCCGTTTCCCTTTTTTGGGGACAGCATGTTGATCCGACTTGTTCACAAGCTGGCCACGGCTTGTGGCTCAACGCTGTCAACAGTCGTACGACATCCTTGAGACGGGCAAGCTGATTTTCTGAGCTTTCCTGAGCTTGAGGTATGGGTGTATCCTTTTTTTGGCGGACCCCCAATAACGATGGTTTGCCTTTTGGTTTCCCCTCAAAACCAACCAAAAGGGTGCTCCCCAAAAACAGAGATCTGGCCAGGAGCAGCATGTGGACCTCAGCCCGGACGCCCTGAGAAATCGGGGCCTCGTGGAGGTCCAAAAGACCTTCGCCGACGAGGCAGGGCCGGCGCCGGGAGGAAGCGCTGGAGTTTGCCAGACCCAAAGTAGCCAAGTTCCCCCGTGCCTCCCCCCCAAAAGAACAAACAACAAGGGATTTGTATGTCCGTTTTGGTTTTTGTTTGCCAGATCCCCCCCTTTAGCACCCAGGTTGGTTTACCGTCCGCCTTGGGGCAGGGAGGGCTCCATTTGTCCACCAGTGCCAAACAAGACGCTCGTTTGTTTGTTGACCTCCCTTAGGAACGCTTAGGAATCTACATTTTTCGGGCACCTCAAGATGTTATGTTCCGGAAAGGAGGTCCAAATGCCGTCCACTGAAGGGTGTCCCCAACCGTCCACTTGTAAACAACTAAGCAAACCAAGTGCTTCGTGATGCGCGTTCGAGCCTGATCGATTGGAGGGCATACTTTGTTCAAGCCGCTTTCTAGTATTCGTCCAGGACATCATACTCGCTAAGAACGGTAAGGGTTGGAAGCGCAATCCCAACAAAAGACCCAGACCCATACATTTGCCCAAAGTCAGGGTCAACCTTGACCATCTTGACCGCTTTGCAGCATGGGCCAAAGGCCTCATGTTCTTTCGCCAGTTGGAGGTGCGGATGGTCCATAAGCCTTGTAGTTTCATGCTTGCAAGGTTCCCTAAAGGGTGCTCACAGGGTTGCTCCAAACCTCAAACCAATGTCCTAAACACAAGGGTCGACCATTGGTGTTGGTAGTTGGTCTCTTTGACAAAATTCGTTGAAACGGGAATGGCTTTTGAAAAGGACAATGGTTGAGCAGAGCGCCACAGGAATCAACGAGAACCAGTATCTGTGAGCCTTGAATTGATGATCATCGCCCCCAAAAGTGGAAGTGCTGCACCCTCTTTGGCTGAAGCCAATTGGGACCAAGCCCTGGGCTGGGGTCCCTCCCAAATTGTTGTGTTTTTCAGGGTGGGCTACGCTTTGCTGTAAATGGGCTGCTTGGTTGAGGGTACCCTTTCCACCCCGATTTCAAGGCAACGCAAAAGGGAAAACCTCAATTTTTGTTCGCCCCTTTGACACATACTTGGGGAGAAGAGCCGAGGATCTGAAGGTTTTCACTGTGACGCTCCAGGGCATCCTGGGCATCTCGGATTGGAAGGCTCCAACCATGGTTATAGCTGGGGTAACTGGGGCCTGTCCCCCGATAACCACGGCCATAACCTACTTAGTGGTTTGAACACCCAAGGGACCCCCCTCCTGAACATGGCGATTGGTTCAAATGTTGAAGACCAAGGCTGACATCAAGAACATCCAAGGTTCCCTACACAAAATCATACCCAAAGCTGCCGTACCCCCGGTAGACTCTTCTGGAAATCCATGTTGTTAATACTATAGACAGGCTATTCAAAGGTCACCCCTGACATCCAAAATCCAAAGGGGATCCTTCGTCAGGTTCTATGGCAACATGGGAGTTGTGCTAGCTCCAGTTCTTCAATACCCTCTCAATCCCGCCTTGTTATCCTTCTTTGTTTTTTGCAACCGGGGCCCTCTAAAGATGGGGTCATATCTTTCTTTCAGCGTCACACTGTTGTCAAAAGTAGGCCTTGACAGAGGCGGTTCTGCATAAACACCTGTTTTCATATTTTGGGTCCAAACGGGCTTAAAACCCCGGACAACCCCCCGGACAAACCCCCGGACAACCCTCCGGACAGCTTTGAGGGCACAAAATCGGCGGGACAACTCCCCGGACAAACCCCCGGACAACCCTCCGGACAGCTTTGAGGGCCCAAAAGCCCGGGACAAACCCTCGGACAAACCCCCGGACAACCCTCCGGACAGCTTCGAGGGCCCAAAAGCCCGGGACAAACCCCCGGACAAACCCCCGGACAACCCTCCGGACAGCTTTGAGGGCCCCAAAACCCGGGACAAACCCCCGGACAAGTCTTCGGACAGGTTTGGAACACGCCAAAACCACTCGGAGGGAAGTATTCTTGCGAGAGGGGGGGTTTGCAGCATAAATCTCGGCAAAGTGCGCGGACAACCCTCCGGACAACCTTCCGGACACCCCCCCGGACAACTTGCTGGACAGTTGTTTGTCCAGCAGTTTGTCCCGCACTTTGGCACTTTGTCCCGCACTTTGTCCCGCACTCTGTCCCGCATATCGAGGGGGGTGTTTATGCAGAAGGGCATTCGTCAAAGTAGGCCCCGTCTTGGACTCGGTGATCATGTGTTGCCGCGTTTTGAAAGGGGCAGGGTTTCTATGTACTGGATCCACCTTAAAACACATGGCCGCAGAGTTGCGCGAGCAAGCTTTGCCCGAGGTGGGGCTCATAGAGCCCAGCTTCAGCTGGTCGGTGGATCCGCGGCTTCCTCGCGCGTAAAAGTTGCGGCAACTTACGCGCGGGTTCCAATTGAACTTCCGGATGTTCTCATTTGTGTCCTCCACTTTAGGGCAAGTGTTGCTTTTGTTGTACCTACTGCTTTGGGTACTGTCAGTGGGTGATGAGTTGCAGATCTGTTGTTTTTTTCCGCTGTTTTGATTGGGGGGACTTTCTTTTTTTGGGTGGGGGGGTGGGGGGTTGGCATTACCTGAGACGGGGTGGCCAGGAACGTGAGCCCAGTTTGAAGCGAAGGCAGGGTGATGTTGAAAGGGCAAATGTAAGCATCCTGCGAACCATTCAGTTTTGTGGCACAAACTTCCACCAATTATGGAGGCACGACGTTTGCGCATAGGGCGTTTCCCAGTTGAAGTGGGGACCTGCAATTAGTGTGTTCCCTTTTGTTGTCATTTTTCAACCCCGGCCCCAAATGGGGGTCTCCCCAGTAACCAACATATTTTCCATTGTTTAGTCGTTTTTGTTGTCGTTTCGTTTTGGACGTGCTGTTTGTATCAACCAAAAGGTGGGCAGCGTTTTTGTCCACCGTCCGGTTTGGATCGGGTCAACGACTCAGCCCTTGGATTTGAACTACATCCCGTCGGTCTCGCCCGCGCATGCAATGCTCGCGCCCAGGCGAAGCGCACCAGTCTCGCACGCACATGCATTCAAAACGCGCGAGTCTCGCAAGCGCATGTAAGCCTCCCATCCATGCTTAATGTCCTGCAGGGTCGTTTGGTGCAGGGCAAGTGGAAGGCTCAAGGACGCTTGCGGAGGTGTCGGTGTGGTGCAGGCCAGGTGCATTAATGTCTACCTCTGATCAGTAAACACCCCCCTTCCCCCCCACCCCCCCTCAAACAACTTCCCTCCCCAAATAGTTCTTCCAACTTGATTACGAATTGCTAAGTATTGCTCATAGATTTGTTGTGTTTCAATTGATTTAGTATTGCTGGAGCCTCCTTTTTGGGCTTGGATTCGGGTTTCCAATTGGTGTAGTATTGGTGGATTTGAGTTTTCAATTGATTTCGTATTGCTGGAGCCTCCTTTTGAGATTTGACTTGTTGGGATTCCATTTGATTTAGTATTGCTGGTGACACTACCAGGAATCTTTATTTATTTCTTTGATGGGGGGGCAACCAGGAATCTTTATTTAGGGGGGGGGGCCTTAATATTTGTTTTCAACCGCCAAGTACTTGTGGGATTGATTGGGCAACTTTTTTAAAAAGAGTGTAAAGAATTTGCAGTTTGGGAGCTGGGATTTTGTTGGGATTGCAAAAGCTAGATGGTTCAAATCATAGGGAGCAAGTTTCAAGGGAAATATTTTCAAGATTATTGAGCCTTTTTCTAAGAAAGCCTTTTTCAAACATGAGTTGATTTTTTTGGGGGGGGGCAACCAGGAATCTTTATTAGGGGGGGGGCCCTAAATAATGTTTGTTTCAACCACCAAGTACTACCGCCTTGTAGGGGTGAAGCGGGGCCACTTTTTAAACAAGCGTATGTAAAGAATTTGCAGTTTGGGGGCTAGTATTCTGGTAGATCTGAGATTTTGGTAGATCTGAGATTGTAAGGCAGGCAAGGCAGATACTGACCAATCACACCAGCTAGTGGAAGAGATTGAGATGATGCTAGTGTGTGTGTGTCTGTGTGTCTGTGTGTCTGTGTGTCTGTGTGTCTGTGTGTCTGTGTGTCTGTGTGTCTGTGTGTCTGTGTGTCTGTGTGTCTGTGTGTCTGTGTGTCTGTGTGTCTGTGTGTCTGTGTGTCTGTGTGTCTGTGTGTCTGTGATTCCCCGCGAACAAAAACAACATAACTCTTTTTTCGGGGGGTTATTAATCAGTGCCGGCCCACAACATAACTTTAATCGGGGAGGTTTGTTAATCACAGGTCGACATTACTCAAGGTTGTGGGGTGGCCTGGCGCAGGCCAGGTGAAAGGTTCAAGCACGGTTCCGGAGGTTCCGGGGTGGTGTGGTGCAGGCCAGTTGACAGGTCAAGCAAGGTTGGGTAGTCTGGTGCAGGCCAGTTGAAACGTTCAAGCAGGGTTCCGCAGGTTCCGGGGTGGTGTGGCGCGGGCCAGGTGCAAGGTTCAAGCAAGGTTCCGGAGGTAAGGTTGAAGCAAGGTTCTGGAGATTCCGTACTTTGGCGCAGGGGGCATAGGGGTCCGGAGGGTGCTCTGGCGCATGACAGGTGTTAGGTTCACGCAATCGTTCCGGAGGTGCCAGAGTGGCCTTATTCACGCCAGGCTGGTCTTCGGAGGTTCCGTGGGTGTCCATGTGTAAGGCTCGCAATGGTTCCCCAGCAGCTGAACGCTTTACGGTCTAGGCACGCGTCAGCAGGTGTGTTTACCATTCGGCACGCATGGACGGTGCGCGTGAGCGGGTGTGCTGACCATTTGGCATGTGCGGATGCAGTGCTGGCGAGCGGGTGCCTACCCGCCATGCGGGGCTTTGGAGCTGGGTTTTGTGGCAGGCGATCGCGCGCGACTGCTGCGGAAGACCGGTCCCGCGTGGGTTGTGGAGCTGGATTTGTGGTAGGCGCGCTATTTGAGCGATCACGTCTCCTGTGAGAATTGTCGCGTGCTGTGAGTCCAAAATCGTGTGCTCAGATGAGGCCCCAACCTAATATTTAGTTGTTTATGGTTTAGTGTTTGCTTTTTGATTCACCTATGTGTTGTTTATTTGTTGGTTTCTGCTATTATACTTTCTGTTTTGTATGTGTTGTTTAGTTTTTTTGCGTTTGTCTTTTTGCTCTCCTTGTTTACTGATTTACTTCTTTGTTTATGCACTGTCTTTCCTACATATATGTATGGTGCTTTGTATCTTTAACCCAAGACAAACACATATCATTGTATTATTTTTGTGTTGATGGGTGTATTTGTTCATGCGTTCAATTTTCTCATTGATTTGTGAACATGGCTCAGGCATCACGGTGGACCGCTCCGATGGGCATCGGACGCTCGTGCGCGCACCTGGGCAACACATGGGCGTGGCAAGATATTGTAGGCCCCCCCCCCTCCCCAGTTGCCCAAGAATAAGGTGTTGGGGTTTGCGTATCCTATGACACCAGGCGAGTTCCGGTTGTTTGTTTTTCCAAAAAGTAAGTACTCACTCAAAAGCAAATCCACGTGTTTATCTTTGCAGGGAACCGTGAAAAGACCACCTGAACACGGTCAACATGTTTTGAAGTTGGGGGACGGCCCGTGTTTCTCACTGTGAAGCTTCCTTTTATAGCCTAGTTTGGGTGGTGCCGTCACCCATAGCTGTTGTCATTGTCTCAGAAAGCCTTTGATGGCCTTGCTCCTTTTCAGTCAGTTAGCGGAAAAGTTAAACAATTGTGTCCTGGAGTCCGGTTACTTAGGGTTTGGGTCACCTGTCTTTACTGGGGTCGTTGCCGGCTTATGCGTATCTTACATTGCGTGGAAACGAAAACCCACACTGGGCTGTTGGAAGGATGGCAGTTCTTAAGCTGCTCTTGCGGGTCGTGTTGCCGTTTTTCCCTTGGAAGATTGGCCCCGTCACAAGGACACCAAGTGGGGGACCTTTGAAACGTTGGGCAACTGCTCGCACAAATTGGTTGGAATGAAGCGACACATGGGGAGGGAACATTCCGCTAGTGCCACTGCCTGCTGCTGGCGATATACCTCTTATTTTGCCACGAGCATACAACTTGGGATTCTTCCGGTAGAATCACATTTGCTTCAAAGATCGCAAGAGGTCTCTTTTCGAGGGAGAACCACGTAAGGCAAAAGATAGCAGCGTTGGTAGCAATATGGAAAGTTGAAGGGAGCCCAAAGGGAAGGCACTCATTTCTTGAGTTCCCCATTTAGAGACAACCCCGTTTAGTTCCTTTTGTTGCAGCCTGTCTACTTTTGTTGGACAGGAAGGGGTTTTGTCGCTAAGAGATGCGGTCTCGATGGTCAAATCTGAGACCTCCAGTGATGCCCCTTTTTCCCGCTTTTGAGAGGGGGCTTCCCTTCATTGATTCAATCCCTACAGAGTGGATCCCAGTTCCACTGTAGAAGGTAAGCGGCCATTCTCCTCTTGGTTCCTAAATCCCTTGGTTGCCTACTGTGCCCCTGGGCTTCAAAACAAGAAGTAATTACCTTTTTTGCCATGACTGGAGTCCTGGAGCGCTGGACGCCTGGGATTGAGCGCCCGTGACGATTCAATGATTCACTTGTACAATTTAATTGGAGCCCCGGATTTATTGACCTTTGGTTGATCAATAGGGAAGTCTCCCCTTTTAGTGGGGTCATTTTGGTAGGATGGGCTTATGGGTCCTGGGTCAACCCACCTGAGTTTGCCTCAGGAAGTGTCCGGTGGGGCGGCTTCTGTCTGGAATGACCAGAACCCCGGGCGGCGTATTCTGCCCTTTGACGCTTGGATATGCTGCCGCGGGGAAAGGTGTTGCCACCCGTTTTGGGGTTTCGCCTATTTACAGATGTATTTAGAGGCTTTACTCATTTGTGGGTAGGTCAGAAGTGTCCCCGTTCGGGTTTCAGTTTGGCTCAAAATAGGTGGACTGCCACTGGTTCTAATCATTTCTCAGAGCCATATGCCTCTCACATATCCTTAGAGAATGGAGCACCAGTTGGTTTAGTGCTGGAGCTTCTTGTCGCATTTGATAGGGTTTGAGTTTTCATTCGGTTTGGTGTAGTATAGCCGTTGTTGTCGTTTGACCACTGTTGACGGGTTTGAGTTCCCATTTGGCGTGAACTATTTTTTGGTGAGTTGCTTTCTTGAAGGGGAGAAAGAGTTTGAGTTATTTGTAGTTTTGACGCATGACATTCACAAGGCCCACCACCCCCTCGATCCGGGGTTCTGCAAGGATCACATCTTGGAAGTGAACGGCGAGCGCTGCCTTGGAGAAGACATTACCGGCAAATTTGAAGGGAAGGCAGGGCTTGTCGGGGAAAGCGCCTGTCTCGTCAAACAGTTGGAGCCCGGTTCGATAGACGGCTTGAAACCAAGCCTCAGGATTCCACATGTTTTCATGCACGCCTTCCCAAAGTGAAGCAATCCTTGTTTCCTTCATGAGTTTCAGCCAATTGTGGCAACAAACTGTAGGTTTGGGTTTTATTAGGTTAACCCCCGGAAAATGTTGGCTTCCTTTGGGCTGCTTCTGAAACACAACCAAGAAGGGCACCGAGTCTCAAAAAGGACACACCTTCTCCGCTGGAGAAGCCCGACAATTTGTAAGGCCCAAAATGTTAAAGGCAGCCTTTCATCGAATTTCAGAAAACGGGGACCCCGGGGAGCACTTGGATACAGCCATGCTTCCTTAAACGAAAAAAATAAAGACAGGGCAAACCATGACAATTCAACGTTTGGTGGTCATATGGTGGTTATTTTCCTCATGTCCCGAGATTCTGCTCTGGGAGGGCGTCAGATCCGGCACCACGTCTCCGTCAGATTCCGGAACAGGAGGTGACGCTAAAGCTGCAGCGCCCCCATGTGCGCACGGTGGTTCTGGAGAGACCAGGCCTTTGGCATCCTGCGGGAGTTGGCGTTGAGCGTTGCAATTTGACACCGAAGATTCCCACAGAAGCGGCTTGTATAGTGTATTCAGCTCGATTCCCACAATTCTCAGAGTTGTAAAGCACAAGTCGGATTCTTGTTGCTTGACCAGCGACGCGACACTCGCAAGATCAAACTGGTTTTCGCCCCAACTTGGGTATGTCCGTTTGTATTTTGCGGCTCGAGGTTAACTAATTATGGACCAGAAACAGGTGGGAAACCGGCACAGCATTCCCCAGAAGCCGTGGTAGGCTCTGGATCTCGAATGGGTTTACGGGATCCAACCTGGAATGTGAACTTCGGCCCTAAGCCGAATCCCCGACAAAACGGGACACATCCTGATTAGTACGGCCCCTCAGTTTTTTCTTCAGAATTTTGATATCAGTCAGAATAAGGGTTTGCCACTCTTGTGGGGGGAGCCGGAACAAGTTACTGGGCTGTTCAAATCCTGAATATCCACAGCCGCATTTGTTGGGCCTTGTGAAGGGAATTTTCGATTGGTTGGTGGAAAGGAATCATGATTGATGGTTTGTCCTGACTTCCTTAGTGTCGGTATGGTCCTTTTTCAGTTGCTTCAAGGAGGTAATTGTCGCTGAAACCGGACACGAAGGCAGACCAAGTGAAAGCAACATTGCAGGTGCAAAATTGATTAGATTGCAGTTGCATTGGTGCTTGCTGTGGCTTGCTTTTGGTTGCTTGCGCGTGTTGGCATGGCAACCTTGAATGGTGTTATGATTTGTGGCTCGTGGGATCGCCAGCAAGAGACCAGGCTCAGCATCTCTGGAAGCTTCTCATCCTCATTTCGATTTCAAGGTCGACCTAGGCAAGTCTGGGCCAGTTCTAAGGCGCGCTTATTGCTCTCCAGGCACTCCTTGGGCCGATGCTCCGAGCTTTCGGTGTTCCATGTTTCATGCCAAATCGCAGCTGGGATCGCCTTTTTGTACGGATTAAGGTTTACTACATATGGGCCATGATCGGCCAAACTCAGCAACATCACATGGGGACAAAGCGAGCGTAAAGGTGCCACTCATTCATTTGATGGCAGATGTATCAGTAAATGAGAAATGCGAAAAGAACCAGAGCCTCATTGTTGTTGTTTTTTGTTTTTGATGTTTTTTTGTTTCTCCTAAGTAGCTTTAAGTTGCCTTTGGTGAATTTTCAGGGTTGCGCGCAGTGTTGTAGGCCGCTTGGGTATTGACGTCAACTACCGGAAAACCTCTTTGACTCCCTGGATCGATGCTTGGCAGCACCTCCAGAGCCCTTTTTCGGTTTGCCTCGTTTCTTCAGCCACAGTTCCACTTATGTTCCAGCAGTATGCAAAGATTGGATTCCAAGTTCGTATCCAAGAACTGACAAGCCCGCAGGCCAGACGAAAGCTGTTCCCTTTTTTACTCAAGCCCCAGCCAGAGTTAGCCAATTGAGTGCCTGGTGTGCTGCGCACACTCAATGCCCCTGAGACAAGAGGCCCCAGTAAGCCCAACTGGACATGTTTTCAGTTCGTATCGCATTTGTCAGTTCGGGCTGATTGTGCTAGCTGCTGGTCAAGCTACGGCCATGTTTCCTCGTTCGGGATTTCTTCCGTATGCTCGCAGATGGAATTCCTTTGCCTTCAGTCCTGCAACCGCCAAGGTGAACTACCTTGGGAACATGGGTTTCTAACGGATCAATTCTCATGCGGAGGTTTCGCTTCATGTCCTGTCTTGGCCGCGGAAGATGCGCGTGTTGGCTTTGTGCTTTAGTGCCTCCGGCTCAGGCCCAATTTTTGCAATTTTTCCAGGGTTTGGCTTCCGCGCCTGACACTGGATCTGGGAATGCTCAAAGTGTGAACGTCACAAAATTGCCTCGTCGGGGTCCATCAACTCTGCAAAACATGTACCTCGGAGGGTTGGGTTGTAGCGTTGTTCCGGCTCATTGATGTTTCCGACACGCCGAATGTCGGCAGACTTTTCGTCACGGTCTCGAGAGCTTGCCAGGGCAAGAGTGGCTTTTCCGTGCAGTTCTTGGGCCAAATGGAGTGCCGTGTCCTTCTCCGCACAACGGGGCCAGCGTTCTTGGGTGGCCATTACATATGGATTTATGTCCATGCTTGCTTTCGTCGCATATGATCGCACACAGTACATGTCTAGAAGGTTCAGCATGTGTTTAGTGCCTTCCTTTTGTATCTCGAGCATGTGTCCTTCGCTAAATGTGTTGGCTTAGCTTAATTGTACTTAGCTCGGTTCCCACATATGTCTCGCATACTTCAAGCTTGGTTTAGATAGCACTACTTTATTGTGTGTTTCCTTCTGGTTTCTTTCGAAAACCACGAACAAGGGGTACTCACACCCACTCGTCCCTCTAGCAAGTGCATTCCCCGATGGTCTGATCGGGATGTGCCGAGGCCGCCATTAGCGCCGGCTTGGTGGACGATTGGAACAAGGCGAAGTTTTCATACCCGCAGAAGCCCAACCGTTTGTTTCCCAAATGGACGTGGAGGACTTTAAGCTTGAAGAGGATGGAGTCGGCAACTTTCCTGAGTCCGGGTTCCTCAAACGATGCATCCAAAAACCAAATGCTTGTCCTCCAAATCAGCTGCTAAAGGGAATTTGGAACTGGCCATTGGGCCAGGCTCCCTGTTGTTAGAAAGAGGGTATGGTGGACAAAATGTGGACCAAGCATCTGACAATATGCTTTTTCGCGTACCACCAGACGAGGGGGGAGGGGCGGGGGGTTCCTGATTGGCCATACTTGTCAATGCTTGACCTGATGATTTGAGGGTCAAGGGAAAGCCCCGAATTGGATTGGTGCGGAGTTCCGCTCTTCTCATCCTGTGCATGGCTTTTGAGAAGACCCCTTCAATATCTGCAGGTTGTGAGCCATTGAGGCTGAGTGAAGCTTTGCAGTCAATGCCCCTGCGCAGCACTAGCGTCGCCACCCAGCGATTCGGTCTTGCTCGAGTGCGAGCTCCAACTTTCTGAGCCATGGAAAGGTAGCGGAAGGACTCGGTGAGTTGTCCGGTCCATATGTTCTTTGTGGGCGTTCACGTACTTTGTGGCTCCAATTTGAGTGACGGAACATATCGTGAGCTTAGTCGCCCAAGACCAAGCTTTCAACATGTGTGCAATGGTTAGAATACTCCTTCACTTGGGGCTTGTAGGGATGGTCATGGACCCCATTTGTCAGTAATTGAGACAGCCACTCTGAGGGTTTCTTTTGAAGGGAGCCATGACATTGTGTTGAAAACTGTTTCTTGCTTCCTTCCATCAGGACCTCTTCTAAGAAAAGGTTCTAACAAGCTTTTCAGGGAGGGCTTGGCCTTTCTTCCCAAATCATAGCATATAACTTGACATCTTGGAGCACCATCCGTGTAAAAACCAAGCAACCCAGCTGCACCTACCTGCTTTGCTGCGGATCAGATGTGCAGGTTTGTTGTTTGGAGGCATCACATGGCCATAGACCCGCTGTGAGCAACACAGTGCCACATGCATGAAAGACTGTATGATGGGGCTACTATCTGTGCGCAGGCACCCCTCCACAGGAGTAGGTAGGAGACCCTGCAACTAGTGTTGGCATGGCATGCACGCGCCAGAAACAGCCGGACCTGTGCGTGCTTCCGCATGACCGTGTCTTTGCTGCAGTCAGATGGATTTCATTGCCCCATGCCAACACTTCAAAGATCGCCATCGTCTTATTGATCGGCTTTGCAGGCTTGTGCAAGGCATGTGCAAGGCCACTCCACTTGTCAACTTGATATTGATTGACCAATCACCCGATCCCAAAGTTCTTTTGCACCCTTGAAGCCCATGCATGTCTGCAGAGCTTAGCTTTGAGCTTTGTGCGCTCCCGTTTCCTGTTCCCAATTGCACAGCACGGATGTGCGTGCCGACCATGTACAAGAACGAAACGCACGCCTGTGTGAGCCCCCAACGCCGAAGCCGCCACAAAGGAGCAACTCAGAGAGCGCAACGTCGCACATCGGCCAAGGCATCTCGGAGGTGAATGGCCAGTCTGGGACCATCGAAACGCGCCTCGGCATCAACTGGCGACCAGGCTTGCATATTATAGACCATAGCGTACCAGATGTAGAGACACCTACATATTCCCGCTAAGCAGAACTAGCGATGAGGGCTCAAGCTTTCGTTCCCAAGATGCGCCGTTATTTTTTTCGGGAAATGTGGTGATGTTTATAAGGATGTGGGGAGTTTCCAGCTGATGCTGTGGGACTCTGTGGCACAAGGGCTATGCGTCAGCCTGAAAGGCCTACACACCTCTAGGCACCTGCAACATTCAGCATCCTCCCCTTGCCCGTGCCGGTCTTTCGGTAGACAGTCAGCTGCCAATCAGAAAGCTATTTTCGCAAACAATCTGCCAGCAACGACAAGGCATGTTTTTGACACATCGCAAAGTAGCGCGCTTGAACCCTGGCACCAGGGTGCTTGAAAAGCTGCGCTCCGCGGAGAAGCAGATGATCCTGACGGTCATGCACTACGACGAGATCTGAAGCGATAGCCCTCAAGTCTCATATCTCGACCTCGGGGCGTTTGCGACCGACCCACGGAGGAGGCATTTTCCTCGGACCCGCTGATTTTGTGGTTGGTCTTGCATTTGTGTGCACACATTTCGCAACGCTTTACTTGGCAGAGCTTTGGACCAAGAGGGCCGCCTCTTGGGCAGCTGGGCAGGTCTCGTTTCACCGCGCTTGCTTCGCTCTCTCAGCCGCGTAGAGACATCCGACGGATCTCATGAAGGTGCCCGAGCAACAGTAGTAGGATGTCAGTCTTCATGTTCTTTTGGGTGTGCACCAAGGGTCCCCAATTATTCGAATGTCACATCCGTTTGTCACTGGTTTGCCTTCTTCAATCCTGAAGATACGTTTCAGGTTCAACGGTCCCAACACCAAGTTGTGTTGGTTGGTGGCTTGTTTGGTAGGAAGGTGTTGTTGCTTGCTGTTCAGCACTGGCGTGGCCGGCAGCACCGGCCTTAGCAGAGAACGTTGGTTGGGCTGGGTTGAGTTGGGCTGGGCTGGGCTGGGTTGGGTGGTTGGTTGAGAGGTTTGGGGCGAAGTTGTTTGTGGCTTGTTCGGGGTAGCATTGAGCTTGCTGAAAGCGGGTCTTGGTTTGGCTCATGTACGGGGCTTGGTCTAGGTTAATTAAAGCTTGGTTTAAGATGCTCCAGAATGAGGTTAGGGCTACTTCTGGGCATGCTTGATTCAGTTAATTTGGTGTAGGGCTGATAGTTGTCGGGTTTGGGCTGCTTCAGCAGTGGCTAGGCCTAGCCCCAAACTTGAAGGTCATCGAAGCACGTTAGCCCAATTGTAAACCTCGACAACGCACCTCTAAACCAATCCAAGAGTCCAAGATCCACCCCAATTAGTTAAGCGCAGCGGTGGCTAACAACCTACCTGAAGCAAGCTCCAAGCAAAAGCTTCTTGAAACTAGGGCCAAGTACGGAGCGGGTGCAAATCAACAGGCGGCCTGCTCTCTGGGATGCAGGGTCTCCTCGTGCACAATTTACCAGGCCTGAAACCCATTGCGAGGCACCAGCTGAGGGAGCCCACATTCCCCCCACGCAATGCCCGAAAAACCATCTTGTAGCTGCCACTGTTTTGTCGAGCCTCATTGAGGTGATGTTGCATCAGGGGGTGTAGGGGACTTTCGAGCTCGAACTGTTAGGATTTCTTGAACGAAGCTGATTGAGAGCATTCCCATAGTAGTTTGCGTTCATTTTCTCAACGTGACTGTTTTTTGTGCGCTGTTGTTCTCCTTTTAGAGAAGCAGGTTCTGACTGATGAATGATTTGTTACTTATTGATGAAGGTGATTGACGCGACCTTTATGAACCCTTGCATGCATACTAGTCAACATGTGTCAGTACATTTTGCCTGGTTTTCCGTAAGCAACTCATGCATATATCTTGCGCGTGCTGCGCTCTCTCTCTCTCTTTCTCATTTTCTGTGGTTCTTGCTTTATTTTGTTCATTTTAAAGCTATTTCTTATTTTCTTTATTTCTGTATTTCTGTATTTCTTTACTTCTTACTTTCTTTCTTTCTTTCTTATTTTCTTTATTTCTGTATTTCTGTATTTCTTTACTTCTTACTTTCTTTCTTTCTTTCTTTCTTTCTTTCTTTCTTTCTTTCTCTCATTCTCTCTTTCTCTCTTTCTCTCATTATCTCTTTCTCTCATTCTCTCTTGCTCTCTTTCTCCCTTTCTCTATCTCTCTCTGCCTGTGTTTATCTTTGTGATTATTTGTCTCTCTCTTTCTCTTTCTTGTTCTTTCCCTCTCTCCTTGCTTTCTCTCTCTCTCGCTGACTCTTTCTCTCTCTCTCTCTCTCTCTCTCTCTCTTTACTCTTGCTTTGCTCTTCCTCTCTGTCTCTCTCGCTGTCTCTTTCTTTCTCTTCCTCTTTGCTGTGCCCTCCTTCCTTCCCTCCCTCCCTCCACTCCGGCTTCCTTCCGCTCTCCTCCGCTTCCCTCCGCTTTCCCTCCCCTCCCTCCCGCCGCTGGGAAGGAGTGGTCTCCGCAAGAATTTGCATTTTTTTTACATGCCCTGGGGGTTTGGAAAGACAGTCCGTTCCTTCCTTTCTTCCTTCAGTCTTTCTTTCTTTCTTCCTTCATTTCTTTGGTTTCTTCTTCCGTCCCCCCCCTTCCCCCCTGTCCCCTCCCCTCCTGTTGTTGTTTATCTTGCTTTTTGTTATTACAGGTTGTGTTTTATCATTTGTCTCCATTTTTGCGGCTCTTCCTTTTTCTTGTTTGGTTTGCTTTTGTTAGTGTCTTGTCAACTTGCTGTTTCTTGAGCAGGGGGCCCTTTGTTTGATGCTGGCGGCCCACTTCTGCGCGTGAGAGTCGAAAAGACAGCCCTCACTGTAGGCCCGCTCTGGAGAAGCAAAGGCTTTCGCCGACGCAGGTGCAGTGCTGACTCGTTCGCAATCGTGAAGCATGGAGAAAGAGCGAGGGTTGGGCAGCATATGTTTAAGCAAGGCCCGGGCCATGAACGGGCGACCCAAGGGAGGTTGTTTAAACAGCAGGTCTTTGAATAAATTTAAACAAAGTTGGCCCAACCTTGACAGCAAGCGGACAGGGGGGGAAAGATGAGCGATTCCCAGCCCCATCAGGAAGTCTCCTCACACGGGCTTTAGCTGATTCTGCCTATTTGTATGGAAGGCTTGAAGACTCGGGTAGAACGAGCTCACTTTGCTAGGTAATCCAGTATTTCAAGTTTGGGAAATATTGCACAATTTGGTCTTGCGCATTGCCGAGCGCAAGGCCTCAATGAGGGTACCCGATTATTAATAAAAGGGCACCAAATTCAAGATGCTCAAAATCAAATAATTCCCACAAGCCGCCCAGCCGCCAGGAAATGCGACCCTTCAACTCAACCCACTACATTGCGACGAATTGTAGTCCAACTTGTTCCCATTGCTTTCTGCTCAAGTGGAACGCAGCAGTTTTGATCTCAATGGGAGATCTACCTATATCTACCTCCCATATACATTGCCGTGGAACCTGGCTAAGGTGTCCTGGTTTGGGCAATTTTCCGTGGACTCTTTGAAACGATCTTATTCGTGGATGGCAGGCATCAACCCGCTTTTGCCTTTCTGAAGCACCAAGTGGATGCTTTCGTGTCCTTATGCCGCAGCCTCCCAATGGCCCTCGCTGAGTAGTCAGCAATTATCCGCCAGCCATGGCGGCAGATGTGGCGAAGCAACTTGGCTCGAAGCTTTGTGCCAGCCGCAAGCAACCTAGACTTTAGTGGGGTCTGCTCGAACATTGTTTAAACATATAATATATGAGTATTACATATTTTTAATATCTATTTTAAGGTCGACTAAACATGAAGGAGAGTCAGAAACAGTTGCCAAGCGAGTGCTGTTTTTGCTTTTTCGAGCGGAGGCTTCCCTTCAGCTGCCAACAAAAGGGGCCCTGTTTTCCCGGGTCTGGGTCAACCACCAAGAATTAGGTTTGGGTGACACCTGGTACCATCTTACAGCTTCGCCCTTTAGCGAGTGCCATCATACGGGATCTCAAAAACGACAAGGGGTACCCTTAGAAAGAGACCCGTGTCAGCCCAAGGCTGCTCCCCAGCCTGAGTTGCCCAAACAATTTGGACAAACGTGCGACTGAAATTGTCGATTCCTCTTCGCGCTTGTCCTTTTCTTCGTGCGAAAAGGGGTAGTTACCTCATCAGAGTGTTCCTTTTTTGACCCTGTTGACCACGTGCATGTTCCTTTGCACGGGAAAGATGAGTACCTTCCGCTTGACGGTGATCCCAAACTTTCAGGGAACACCTCCTTGTCGGTTTTCTTGGGTGCCAAATGGCCCGTGTTTGTCCGTTGTCATTTTTCCAACAATTGGGGTGCTATCCAACAAATACTCCATTTTTGAAGGGTAGACGAACTATGGGCAGGATTTGAGCATCATGTTTTTCTCTTGTGTACCCCAGATTTGGTGTCAAGAACCCAACATGGGGATCGCTTTTCAAGAGCCAGGCTATGCGCCAGCTTGGACAAGATCTTCAAGAGCTTCTCCACCCAGGAGGTGCAGTTGGATCCCAAGGCCTGGTGCACCTCCCGGCAGCTCATTCCAAGGAAATCCTCAAGGCCCCCCAAACGGAGTTGCCTCGAAATGCCTCGAATGGCGGCTCTCCATGTTCTCATACGAATCGGGAGGGTATTTATCTTTTTTGGGGCTTTCCGCACATGGAATCGCGCCCAAGAAGGCTTCTTAATTACTTTTCGGGTCACTGGTTGCAACTGTGTTTGCTTGGCACGGTTCCCTACCGAGAAAGTTGTTGTTGCTTGTGTCTCTTGTCTCTCTTCCCATGGCGTGTTTGTGTTTATTTGTTTATTGCCCTTGAATGTGATTGTTTTTGCTTTGTTACCTTCTTTTGGCTTGGTGACGGCCAGCAAGGAGATGACAAACCTCCGGGACCGCGGCACCATCCAATATGTGGAGCAGAAGTTCCAGGCAGGGCTTCAGTCATAAGGGGAGCCATTGCAGCCTGGTTTGTTAGTCGAGGATTGTTGGTGACCATTCAAGGCCATAGACCAATATTGGAAGATCCCCCCCTCTAATAGAGCAAGTAGAAACCCCAACGTGGTACCCCAAAGGCGGGTTTTCCTCTGTCCCGCCTTTGGTACCCCAAAGGCGGGTTTTTCCTCTGTCCTCTGGGGCACACCCCCATCAAGCATGCCCAGCGTTCAGTTTTGTGTGACCCTTGTCGTTCGCTTCTTCGAGCTGACGCTGACGCTATCTTAAGGGTGCGTCCAGCATGGGCTACTTCAGATAGGGTCTCTGGGGCCTGATTTTGAGGGGCAAGATGCAGGTGGAAAAAGCACTAGAAAAGCACTGGAGTGCCGGAATGTGTCGTCCTTGCTGGGAAAAAAAGGCCAGAGCTAGGTTCCCCTGTAAAAGTAAAGTTGGCAAAGTGGAATTGGAATTTGCTGGCCTGGAGGGCCAACAAATTGGAATTTCATTCTAAAGGCATCTCCAAATTAAATATATTCCAATGACATTCCAGTGAAAATCCAATTGTACTCAGGAGTAGAGCTGCCCTGTAATGCAGCTGGAACATACGTAACTACATACACATACAGATTGACAAGCAGATTGAGTGGGAAATTGAGCTGCTGCAAGGGTTTGCGGTCCAGGGGATTGTCTGAGAGGCTGACTGTCACAAAGGAATGTAGGGGGAAGGTCGATGGAACCTCGATGGAGTTCCACAGGAATGTCACAAGCAAACCATTGGAGTGTTTCAGGGTGACGTGTTGAAACGACCCTGTTTGAAACAGCCTATGATGCTCCCTACTGACACTAGACTAGTCTCATGCCTCTAAAAGCCTGTTGCCGCCCAACCTTTTTACATGTTCGTGAGCCTGGCGAACTTGGGTCGCACACCAGGGTCCAGCCTAAAAGACCAAACTTGAAGAAATCGCCGTGGAGCACTTTGGTACGCCAAGTGGTACCCCAAGGGAAGGTGCAGAATTTCTTTGAAGAGCCCACTGGATGTCTCGGTGTTTGACCCGGTGCCCAACACCTTTGGCCCGGCCGTCTCTTCTTCGTTGGGTACCGCTTTCCTTTGCCGCTTGGTGCCTTCCAACATAAAACCAGGAGCAAACCATAGACAGAGGGGTGGTTGGAGAGGGAGCGGGTTTGTGGAACCAGGGGCTTAAGCAAAGCAACATACCCAGAGTTTCCACATAGTATTAGTGTTCTTGGTATGTGTTTTGGTGTGTTGCTTTTGTGTGTTTGTTCATTCTAGTAGGGCAGGGGGCTGCAAACCGCAGCCGCTCTTTGCTAACATACCAAGGGTTGGGAAGATGGCAAGCCGTGCTGCTGCAACATAATAATAGCTGACACATTGACACATTCAAGAGGACCCGTGGAGTTCAAGAGAAGATCGACTGGTTCACCCCTTGAGCCCTTGTGCCCGGGAAATAGCCCTGGTTGTGAAAATCAAACCTGAACCCTTTCGCTAGAAGGCACATGCCCGTTACATATCTTAATGTGGGAACATGCACAGCCAGCCTATCATTCTTTGGCACAGTATGTAAAGCAAATTGCGCTCCGCAGGCCCACCTGCAGCGCGCCCGGGCGGCCTTCCTCCAGGAGCTCGAAAACAAACGGAGGCTGTAGGATCCAGCAGTTGTCAAGTGGTTTGCAAAGTGAGCTCCCTTTATCATCACTACTACTTCCATTGGTACTCCTACTGCTACTACTACTACTCTTACTCCTACTCCTACTCCTACTGCTACGTCGACGACTACCACCTACTACTACTGCTGCTGCTGCTGCTGCTGCTACACTACTACTACTGCTACTACTACTACTACTGCTGCTACTCCTACTACTCCTACTGCTCCTACAACTACGTCGGCGACTACCACCTACTACAACTACTACTACCAAAGCTTGCTGCTACTACTACTGCTGCTGCTGCTGCTACTATACTACTACCACTACTACTACTACTACTACTACTACTACTACTACTCCTACGTCGACGACAACCACTACTATGACTACCACTCCTACTCCCACTCCTACTCCTACTCGAAATCCGAATCCGATTTCTGTGTCGACGACTACCACCACTACTACCACTACCTCCTACACCTACTCCTACTCCTCTCCTGCCCTACTCCTACTACCACGTTAACGACTACTACTGCTGCTACTGCTACTACTACCTACCCTTACTCCTACTCCTACTCCTACTCCTACTCCTACTACTACGTCGATGGCTACCACCCAGTACTACTACTACTATTGCTCCTGCTACTACTACTACTACTACTACTACTACGTCGACGAATACAAGCTCCTACTCCTATTACTACGTCGACGAGTACCACCTAGTACTGCTACTGCTACTCCTACTACTACATCGACGACTACCACCTGCTACTACAACTGCTACTACTTCTCCTACTTCTACGTCGACGACTACCACTACTATTACTACTATTACTACCACTCCTACTCCACTCCTTTTCCCACCACTACGTCAACGAATACCACCTACCACTACTACTACTACTACTACTACTACTACTACTACTACTACTACTACTACTACTACTAGTCCTTCCTATTTCTTCTACTACGAATACTACCACGATCACTACTACTACTACTACTACTACTACTACTAGTACTAGTACTACTACTACTACTACTACTACTACTACTACTACTGCAACTTCTACTCCTTATCAATTATCCTCATCCTAATCGTATGACTACGTCGGAGACTACTACCTACTACTCCTACTACTACTACGTCGACGACTATCACTACTACTACTACTACTACTACTACTACTTCCTCTACTACTACTACTACTACTACTACTACTACTACTGCTACTACTTCTACTAGTACTAGTACTAGTACTACTACGAAGACACCACCACCACCACCACTACTACTACTACTACTGCTACTACCGCTACTGCATAGACAACTATCACCTTTTATTCTTATTTCTATTCCTGCTCCTGTTACTACTAATACTACTACTCTTACTACTACTACTACTACAACTACTACGCCTACTTCTTCTCCTACTCCTATTCCTACTACTATGTCGCTGCTTCTACTCCTATTTTTACCTACTACTCCTACAACCACTACGTCGAGGACTAACTACGAATACTACCACCACCACCACCACTACGACTACTACTACTACTGCTACGACTACTACTCCTACCAGATTGAGCGCCCAGTTGAGCAAATAATGCTCGTTTTAGGGGGCTCGAGGTATGGAGCCGCGCTGTGGCCCATTTCTCCGCCAAGGCGTTTTTGGCCCCAAAAGCAAGAGCTAAGGTAGGCAAAACTAGGGTTCCCGAAAATGAAAGGAGGCTGTCTAAAGGCTCTTGATTCCCAATGTTTCTTTGTTGGGTTTTGATTTAGTAGTGCTTGAAGAATGCTGGTTGAAACAGTTTTCCAATTGCGGGTTCAATTGGCATGGTTCTTTTAGCAATTTTGGCGTTGGGCTTTAGACATGTTTGAGCCGCTGATGGCTGCCTTCCTGTCCAGGAGTTCCGAAACCACGCCGTGGTGGTGGAAACAGAGGCCAGGAAGCTCCTCCGCTCGCAGCTGGGCGAGCGGGACGGAAGAATTTGGGTGCCTAAAAAAAATAAAAGACCCGCAGGGAGGTTGATGATTGGATGACATCATGACGTCTGATTTCCGGGGCCCTCATTCATCCAACAGTCAAAGCTGGAGGAAGGTGCGTGCTAAATAGCCCGGGTGTCGCCAGGTCAAGAAGATTCGAAATGAGATGACCGAGCAGATGGAGGCAGCTGCGTTGCAAAAGTGCGAAATAGCCCATCTGTGGTTCGTTGATTCTCAAATTGACAACTGCCTCTTTGTTTGAAAGGGACCTGTTTCTCAGACCCCCAAACAACCAGCGTTGTACACAATCGGGATCCACCATTTCGAACGACAGGAACATCCAGCGAGGGGATGGCTTAGACGACATATTGATTCGAATGAAACCTCCCCCCCCCCATTTTGAACAGCCGAGGATCACAGTAGTAGGTTCATCACTTCCTGGACCCAAACTCCTATGGTGTTTTGAGGCGGGCTACCTCTTGGCAGCCGGAAATCGATTTTTATTTGGCCCTTTGGGCCAGAGGATTGGGACCCAGGAGAAGTACGGCAAGATGCTGGGCGAGCTCCGCACCTCCGTCCTGGACTCTGAGGCGCTGGGGCACAGCCAAGAAAGCGCCATGCATATGGGTGTGTGGGAGTGTTTTTTTGTTAAGGGCGCCCATTTGTTTTATGTGTTTTTTGAGGGGGGTGGTTTTCAGGGAAAATGGGAAAGACTGCCACCTTTGTTTTGGGGGTGGCCCCGACGGTGACACATACCGATAAACCAATACCTGGAATAATCATATTGCAAATGAATGGTGGTCAAAGAAAAACAACATTTGTATGTCTTGATTCTTTGTTGAGAATGCCTTCCCACCCCGGACATACATATCTGTATGAATAGATATGTTAAGCGCATTGGGAAAACCCCAAGTTGAGCCCGAGCATTTCAGCCGTGGAAAATGACCTTGGGAGTAGAGCTTGGAGGGGTTTTCACCTTCACCCGTCCCACCGTACGGGACTTTGCGCGGAGAATCAAAGAGGGGATCTGACTGCTTTGGTGCCCTCGCCCTTTGGTTGGGCTCAGGTCTCTCAAACTGCTTCACGAAAATACAGCTCTGAATAGCGTGCAACCATTAACATGGTAGTTACCGATGGTAGTCTCACTTCACTGTCGCTGGTTTATGTTTATGCGTGCGTGTTTGGTGGTTTTGGTTGCAGGGGTCTCTTTGTGAAGTTTGGGCTTGATCACCTCCCTTCAACATGCAGCGCATCCAAAATTGATTGGCGCTTTTGATTTTGTGCAGCTCACGGATGTGTGTAGTTGGCACATTAACATATGCGCAGTATGCCGCTTGAGCTGAGTTAAAACGTTTCCCCAGTTGTGTGAGGGGATGCTAGTGCCTGGGTGCTAAGACATAGTCACATGATTGGTGGATGGATTGTTTGACTTTAGCAAACACTATTTTCTGATCGCCCTTAAGTGGTAGTTTGGATTGGTGTTTTTCCGGATTAAATCCCTGTGCTTGAACCAAAGGAGAAAGCAGCCCCACTTTCGAGATGTGTAGACTTGAGCCGCGAAGCGCTTCTCGCCTTCGCCAGGGCGTGGTGCAGTCACAAAAGGCCGAGATCTCTCAGCTGAAAGGCAGACGTGGATGGGCGGGGGCATGGGGTGGTATGTGGCATGTGGTGGTAAAACGGGCCCCATGAAGGGCCTTTACTGGGGACTCACTCATTTCGGGACTTACTCATTTCCAGCGTGGGAATCCTTGTAATTTCCCCAGATGCTTTCCTTGATTGCACGGACCTCTAAAAGATGCTCAAAGCAGAAACATACACAATTCGTTTGGTGTCCTTTTGTTTCTCTTCTCCAGGGAGCAAACTACTAGCTCTCGACAATTGGTGGAGCACCGCGGTCCAAATTCTGGCTCTCATCACTGAAAGGCTTCGCTGGCTGAATCCATGCCAGAACCTTCCAAGCCCCACGGTTCGCTGGAACAGCCCTGGGAGGGATCAGCACAAGAGGAATTTTGTCCTTTCCAGTGCGAGAAAAGCACATCACACAACCTCAGGAAAAGTTGCAATGCAATCATGGATAGATGTTCTCCTGTCACCCTTTCTGCGCAAAAGATGTACTATATTATTTGTAGATGTTGTGCTGGCTTTTGAGGGGGGGAGGGCTTGGCGTCCCACCCCGGGTTTTTATAATTGTGCAAGATAGTTTGGCACATACCTATATATACATGTATGTGTGTTGTATGTGGTCAATACATGTGCAAATTGCCCGTTGCGATGTTATCACAATGGTTGGCAACAACAACCATAAATGCCTCTCAGATCGTACATCGCATCTTGGCGCTCGCATGCATGCCATTCATTTGCTCTCTGGGCAAGCAGGGTCAAACTACGTGTTTTTCCGTATGCGCTGGTCCATGAAGTCGATGGTTCTTTAGGCGTCAATATGGTGTCAAATCAAGGCACGAAGAAGCCGGTGTCCGGGCTCGAAGAGCTCCACCCTGTTGAGATGAGTCCCTTGAAGAGCCCATAGCAATCAGGACCTGAGCTGATATGGTCTCAGTTCATTCTTTCAATCTGAAAGTGCCGGGGCATTTCCACGTAGACATCGTACCACTGGACAATCCCTTCGACCCGAAAGTGATCTATGCCTCCTTGAACTGGGCGTGCTGATGGATTGAACCCAACACGGGTGCAGTACATATCCATTTGAGCTTCATCCGGATCCTGGTGCTTCTCATAACAGACATCGGTCCCCCAAAACAGTTGGTTCCCGAGCTATAGTGAATAGCAGGGCGTGGCAAATCGGTTTCAACAACCAGCCCTTTATCCCCTTCAAAGCATGCAAAGCCACACGGAGATTGCTTGAACAATTGTGAGTTGAACATGTTTAAACAGGTGGCTGGCCTAACCCTGACCCCCAGAGGTGTCATTGGCTACACAGCCACTAAATAGTAGGCATCAAGAATCTACGGTATACTTCATACATACATTTGCATATGTATATATGTATAGGGATGTAATGTGTGCATGTGCATTAGTGCGTTCTTAAACCCAGCTGGCCCAAACGTGGCCCGTGCGCCAAGCCACTCGCAGGCGTAGTGGCGTCCCAAGAGTCGTACATGACGGCGGCCAAGAACCAGGAATTGGTGCCAATCCCCTGATCCTGACCCCCTGACCCCCCCTCCCCCCCTGCCGGAGAATGAGCTCAAACCATCCATTTTTAGGTCAAGGAGGGCCGAATGAGGGCTTTCGAGCTGAACAGTCGGGATGTCTTTATTTTCTTTCTGTCTTCAGTATTCCCCATCATCTATTGCATGACAGCAAGCCGAATGTCATTGGGGGACAGAATTACCTACTTCTTGGTTCCTGAATGTTCAACCGTCCTGGGGTGTGTCTACATTGCCCTTCGGAATGTTTGTCAACTGTCCTCAAAAGGCTTGCTGTTGTTACCATGGTCCAGCAATTAGGCGTTCTCCAGAAGGCATATATACCATTATATACCCACCACGTGGCTTGGCAGGGAAGCCAAGGAACCGATATGAAGAAGGAGCATACATACTATGAATCACGGGCCCTCAGAGCTCCAATGATACTGTCTCGCAATGGGGTGCGAAACCAAACACGGACTTCGTTGAGCCCCTTTTCCGCCTGAAGGCACCTTGTCAGGATCGTCAACATGAGGAAGCCGCCACACTTTTAGAACCTGTTGCTCTTCTTTTGTTCGGACGAAAGCAAGCCCCGGCTGGTCCTAGAAGGGCTAGATTCCGCGGTGCCCCCATCCAGTACGACTTTTTAGCCGTGTTGTCCTAAGCCAAGCTCGACTCAAGGCTGAGCATCTTAAAGTTCTATTCGAAGGTGACCAACAGAATGGCCCAGGCAAGAGCCACTTGCCCCAATAATTTTTGAGAGCCCTCAGAATGTTCGCTTTGATTTGTACTTTAAGGGGCTCAAGATGAGCATTGCTGCAAGGCTCCAGCCCCAAAAACGGCTGGCTTAGTAAGGTATGAGAAGGAAGGGGCTGAGCCTTGGCCCTTTGACCCTAGAGAACTAGGGGGGCCGCACGAGGGTTGCTTTCGAATTTGAGGGTCCAGGATTGATTCAAGCGGGAAAGGTGGGTCAATTGGGAACGCCTGATTCCCAACGTGATGGAGCAAGATTGCCCAGAAAGCATTGCGCTATTTGATATACACCATTTTTGACTTCCCCTCAGACCCAACTGGAGCGGCCTGGAAGACTATTCTCCTCTAAAAGAGACCTGATAGGATTGTTGCTGTTTGGTTTCGGCCCTTGGCCCAATGTGCCTTCATGGCAGCGGGCAGGTCCTGCTCATGTGTTTTTTCCCCCTCACATGCACCTTGTTTTTGCATGTTTTAAAGGAAATCCAAAACAGAACCAGTATGGAACCAAAAAGAACACACCCATATTGCGCCCAGCTTTCTCTGGCCTGGCGGCAATAGCTTTGATCATGACAGGCGGATTTTTCTTGATGGGGCGCTCTCATCATAGGATCCCAACACCCTTTCTTCCAAGCGCATCCGCGCCTATGGAGGGCTTAGTTGGGGAACTTAGGGTTGAAAGTTAAAGGCTTGCAGCATGGCCAGGAAGTGTTCCAGGTTTCCGCCCAAGGGAAGCCTGAACTTACATATTTTCTGTAACGTAAGCTTAATCCTTTGACGGGTCAGGGTGTTTCTCGCCAGGAGCAGCTACAGGAGGCCGTGCGGTCTCTGGAGACTCAGCTGGAATCTGCTCGAGGCGACCGCATGCGAAGCGCATTGGTCCACGGCAGCGGTCCTTTGACTTGAACATCATTTTGGGCCATTCGAAGACTGCCATATGTTATGAAGCTAACTCAGAGAAACAAGGAGGGTCAGAGCTTGTCGAACCTTAGTTAGGGGCTTGAAAGGGTTCCATAGGTAGCCTTGCGCTTGGGAAGGCAATGTCTTTGCTTATCCCGCCTTGGCAGCCGAGCTTGCAGTTTCACGCCAAATGCAGGACACATGGGTTCAGGACCCTCGAGGGATTGATTCCCATTCTTTCAACCATCGCTCAAACCATCGCTCAGGATGTGGCGTTATTTGGAGCCCAAAGAAACGCGGTTTCGTGTATGGTGCCGTCCTTCTACCCCAGATGCAGGCTTGGCCCCAAGGACCCGCATGCAGCAATTCCCCGGGTAAAATGCGCGGATTTGGGGCCAGTGAAGGATTCCTTTTGGGGCGTCTGAATCCAGGCCTTGAGTCTTGCAGATGGAGATGCTAGTAGGCCCTGCAACCACATCCCAAAGCAACAGGATCTACTTGCGCAAGCAACAATCATCTGCAAATGACATGATTTTCAAAATCGGTTTCCCTTCGTTGGTGTTGTTCCGATTACCTCTTAGCATCTATGCGCAGTTCAAGTTGAATTCTTGACCTTGGTTGTGTCGGTGTGAGCAAGCTAGTCCCCAACATTTCCACGAATTGGGGCGAGCTCATTTAGTGGGCGCAGCAGGAGCATAAGGAGCTTACCATGACAAGGACCCTTTTCTTGGACACCTCTTCCCGTTGGCAAACCATTGGTGGAATAATGCAGATTCGGCCCCACCAGCCCAACCAACATAGCCATCGACCGGATGAGTATGAGTCCAGCCACAGCAAAGGCGCGCCAACCGAGGTCCCACCAAGCCCTTGGGATCGGCTGGGGCCGGAAGTCTCCGGGTTTGTTGTCCCCACTCGTTTGGTGGGTCCGCCAGTCGACATCTTGCAGCTGAAGCACCAGCTTGCCGGTGGGGCGCCCAGGAAAGCGGTAACAAAGCACACCCGGACTCGTCACTTATGTTTCAAGGTTGACGAGATAGACAAAATATGATGTTCGGTGTACCCAGGGCCAAGGTTCAACTGCGGGGACGAGCAAATGAGGTCGATTTTACAACCACACAGCTAAAGCAGACGAGCAAATCTGCTTGGATACGGGAGGTTTCCATGCCGCCGGTCAAACATGACACCAGCTTCACCCAAGCGAAGCCAGCCGAACCCGAGGCCGGGAGGACCTGGTCTCGCAGCTCCGCGGGGAGTTGGCCTTTCTCTCGGCCGAGGTGCAGCGATCGGAGGCGCAGCGTCAGGAGGCGTGGGTTCGAAAATGTTCGAAAGCTCGAGGCTTTGGAGGGAACGGGCGCGTCGTTCTTGAAGCTCCTCTTTTGGGGTGGTTTAAAGGGTGAAACCAACAGGAAACCAGCCACTTTGAGGTTCCCCTGTGACTCTTTGAGGACAAACCCATACAATGAATATATTGTAAAAAAAGAGGTTCATTAAATTGCAAAACTCCTTGGCAAGACCTGTTGCCTGATGGGGTGGTTGTCCCCAAGTCTTGTTTGCAGGAAGCTTGCACGACTCAGTAGGGGTTCCAGAGGGCAAATGAGGAGCAGGCACACTTTACGTGCCAGTGTACTCTTGTGGACCTGCAAGCTGAAACTCGGGGGGTTTCCCTGAATCGCGAACTGTTTTTGCAATGTCAGTTGTTGCAGTTCTGCTGTTTGTTGCAACTACGTGGACGCAAACACTGGGGATGGGGTCAAGGCACATGTTTTTGTTGCTAACCCGGTTTTCCACCTTGCTCATTGCTTCCTACCATTCCACCTGCTTGAGGGGGGGGGGCTTTTGGAAGGTCTATTTTGTTTGACCCCCTAGTTTTGGGGGGCGCAAACAGGTACAGTGCAGGTCAACAAGAACCGGCCTGGGGTTGCACAAAGGTCTCCTCTCTCTGTGTTGCACTTCTGTTTCTATTGTTTCCCACCCTTTACAATGTCTTGTCAGACCCATTGAGGTGTGTGTCACAACGGGGCCGACCCCCCCCCTCCCAAAAGAAATTGGTGGTTCTCCTTTGGCTTTTTTTGGACAGCTTTAAGCTCTACACTGAGCACGAGAAAAGATATGTCTTCGCCAAACGCCCAGAAACCCGGGCGGGGCAAATTCTTGGACCCGGAGCGGTCAGGAGCAGCGACTGGCGGAGGAGCGGCTCAGTGGGGCGCAGAAGGCGATGCAGCAGCATCAGCGGCCTGGTTGCAGGTTTCGGAGGGTTTGTTGGGTAGGTTTGGGTTGCTTTGGGTTGCTTTGTTGGTTTTTTGGGGGCGGCTGGGTTGCCGGGGGGGGGGGGGACATCCAAGGACAGACACTTAGGCTCAACTGATCTGCCTTTCCAGGAGCCAATTTCGGAGCAACGGGCGTGGGCTTGAGGAAACCTCCTGTGTCCACTAAACACTTCTAACGTAGCGTGGATCAGAATGTCATTTGGTTCTAGGCGAAGCGACCCTTTGTTGGCCCACCTTGTATCCGATTCCAATTTCGGGATGCACCCACATCAATGATAGAGTTGTCTTTTTGTTGTGGTGATTGTTTTAAGGGAAGTCCGAAGTTTCCTCCACACTCCAATCATTCCAGGCACAAGATCCCACTGAAGAAAGGTAACCCAGTGTTGCGGTTTGTTGCATTTACTTCCCCATCATTAGCAGTTTCTTCCACTATTGACAGCCCCGAGATTTCGGTTATGCTATTTTAACGCCTCCGGCTCAGGCCGCCGACATTACAGGCCTGCTTTCTTATTTGCGTCCCTTTGGAATTGTCCCATTGCCCCCCTTCCCCTCAAAGATTTTTGCCCCCCTTTCCCTGTGGAGATCCATTCCCCGTTTCCCCCCTAAGGCCCTTTCTCCTTCTGAGATTTTTCCCTTTTCCTCCCTAAGATGTTTTCCGCCCTCTCCCTGTTGAGATCCTTTCCCCCCTTTCCCCCCTAAGGCCTTTGTCCCCCCTGAGATCATCTCCCTTTTCCGCCCTTTCCCCCACGTTCCCCCCTAAGGCATTTTCCCCCCCTGAGATCTTTTCCTTTTTCCTCCCTGAGATCTTTCCCCCCTTCCCTGTTGAGATCCTTTCCCCCCTTTCCCCCCTAAGGCCTTTCCCCCCGCTGAGATCTTCTCCCTATTCCTCCTTAAGATCCTTTGCCCCCCATTTCCCTGTTGAGATCCTTTCCCCCCCTACCCCGAAGGCCTTTCCAGATCTTCTCCCTTTTCCTTCCTAAGATTGTTTCCCCCCTTTCCCTGTTGAGATCCTTCCCACATTTTCCCCCTAAGGCCTGTCCCTTGCTGAGACCTTCTCCCTGTTCCTTCCTAAGATCTTTCCCCCCTTTCCCTGTTGTCCTTTTTTCCCCCAGATCTTCTCCCTTTCCTCCCTAAGATCTCTTCCACCCCTTTCCCTTGTGAAATCATTTCTCCCCTTTCCCCCCTAAGGCCTTTGCCCCCAGATCTTCTCCCTTTCCTCCCTAAGTTCTTTCCCCCCCTTTCCCTGCTGAGATCCGTTCCCCCCTTTCCCCCCTGAAGCCTTTCCCCCCCCCCCGAGATCTTCTCCCTTTTCCTCCCTAAGATCTTTTGCCACCTTTCCCTGTTGAGATCCATTCCCCCCTTCCCCCCTAAGGCCCTTTCTCCCTCTGAGTTTCCTTTTCCTCCCTAAGATCCCTCTCCCTGTTGAGATCCTTTCCCCCCTGAGATCATTTCCCTTTTCCTCCCTTTCCACCACTTTCCCCCCCAAGGCCCTTTCTCCCTCTGAGTTTCCTTTTCCTCCCTAAGATCCCTCTCCCTGTTGAGATCCTTTCCCCCCTTTCCCCCCTAAGGCCTTTTCGCCCCTGAGATCATCTCCCTTTTCCTCCCTTTCCCCCACTTTCCCCCCTAAGGCCTTTTCCCCCCCTGAGATCTTTTCCTTTTTCCTCCCTGAGATCTTTCCCCCCTTCCCTGTTGAGATCCTTTCCCCCCTTTCCCCCCTAAGGCCTTTCCCCCCGCTGAGATCTTCTCCCTATTCCTCCCTAAGATCATTTGCCCTCTTTCCCTACCCCGAAGGCCTTTCCAGATCTTCTCCCTTTTCCTTCCTAAGATTGTTTCCCCCCTTTCCCTGTTGAGATCCTTCCCACCCTTTCCCCCTAAAACCTTTCCCTTGCTGAGACCTTCTCCCTGTTCCTTCCTAAGATCTTTCCCCCCTTTCCCTGTTGGCCTTTTTTCCCCCACATCTTCTCCCTTTCCTCCCTAAGATCTTTTCCACCCCTTTCCCTGTTGAGATCATTTCTCCCCTTTCCCCCCTAAGGCCTTTGCCCCCAGATCTTCTCCCTTTCCTCCCTAAGATCTTTCCCCCCTTTCCCTGCTGAGATCCTTTCCCCCCTTCCCCCCTCAAGCCTTTCCCCCCCCTGAGATCTTCTCCCTTTTCCTCCCTAAGATCTTTTGCCACCTTTCCCTGTTGAGATCCATTCCCCCTTTCCCCCCTAAGGCACTTTCTCCCTCTGAGTTTCCTTTTCCTCCCTAAGATCCCTCTCCCTGTTGAGATCCTTTCCCCCCTTTCCTTCCTAAGGCCTTTTCGCCCCTGAGATCATCTCCCTTTTCCTCCCTTTCCCTCCCTTTCCCCCCTAACTCCTCCCCCCCCCCCCCCGAGATCTTTTCCCTGTTATTTGAGATCTTTCCCCCTCTTTCCCTGTTGAGAATGCCTTTCCCCGCGCTGAGATCTTCTCCCTATTCCTCCCTAAGATCCTTTGCCCCCTTTCCCTGTTGAGATCCTTTCCCCCCCTACCTTGAAGGCCTTTCCAGATCTTCTCCCTTTTCCTTCCTAAGATTGTTTCCCCCCTTTCCCTGTTGAGATCTTTCCCCCCTAAGGCCTTTCCCCCCCTGAGAGCGTCTCCCTTTTCCTTCTTAAGATCTTTCCCCCCCTTTCCTGTTGGCCTATTTTCCCCCAGACCTTCTCCCTTTCCTCCCTAAGATCTCTTCCACCCCTTTCCCTGTAGAGATCATTTCTCCCATTTCCCCCCTAAGGCCTTTGCCCCCAGATCTTCTCCCTTTCCTCCCTAACCCTTTCCCTGCTGAGATCCTTTCCCCCCTTTCCCCCCTAAGGCCTTTCCCCCCCTGAGATCTTCTCCCTTTGCCTCCCTAAGATCTTTTGCCACCTTTCCCTGTTGAGATCCTTTCCCCCCTTTCCCCCCTAAGGCCTTTTTTTCCCCCGCAATCTTCCTATTCCCTAAGATCCTTTGCCCCCTTTCCTTGTTGAGATCATTTCCCCCCCTTTCCCCCCTAAGGCCTTTTTTTCCCCTGCGATCTTCCCCCTTTTCCTTCCTAAGATGTTTTCCCCCCTTTCTCTGTTGAGATCCTTTCCCCCCTGTCCCCACCAAAGGCCTTTCCCCCCCCTGAGATCTTCTCCCTTTTCCTCCCCAAGATCTTTTCCCTCGGTTGGGATCCTTTCCCCCTTTCCCCCCGGGATCTTCTGCCTTTTCCTCCCTAGGATCTTTTCTCCCTGTCCTTGTTGAGATCCTTTCTCCCCCTTTTTCCCCTAAGGCCTTTTCAGATCTTCTCCCTTTTCCTCCCTAAGATCCTTTGCCCCCTTTCCCTGTTGAGATCCTTTCCCCCTTTCCCCCCTAAGGCCTTTCCCCCCCTGAGATCTTAAGGCCTTTTCCCCCCCTGAGATCTTCTCGCTTTTCGATCCTTTCCCCCTCTCCCTTTAAGGCCTTTTCCCCCTGAGATCATCTCACTTTTCCTCCCTAAGATGTTTGCCCCCCTTTCCCTGTTGAGATCCCTTCCCCCCTTTCCCCCCTAAGGCCTTTTCGCCCCTGAGATATTCTCCCTTTTCCTCCCTAAGATCTTTTTCCACCTTTGTTTATTGAGATCCTTTTCCCCCTTTCCCCCCTGAGGCCTTTTCCCACCCTGAGTTCTTCTCCCTTTTCCTCCCGAAGATCTTTTCCCCCCTTTCCCTGTTGAGTTTCCCCCCCTGAGATCTTCTCCCTTTTCCTCCCTAAGATCTTTTGCCACCTTTCCCTGTTGAGATCCTTTCCCCCCCCTTTCCCCCCTAAGGCCTTTTTTTCCCCTGCGATCTTCCCCCTTGTCCTTCCTAAGGTCTTTTCCACCCTTTCCTTGTTGAGATCCTTTCCCCCCCTTTCCCCCCTAAGGCTTTTTCCCCCCAAGATCTTCTCCCTTTTCCTCCCTAAGATGTTTTCCCCCCTTTTTTTGTTGAGATCCTTTCCCCCCTTTCCCCCCCAAAGGCCTTTCCCCCCCTGAGATCTTAAGGCCTTTTCCCCCCTGAGATCTTCTCGCTTTTCCTCCCTAAGATCTTCTCCCACCTTTCCCTGTTGAGATCCCCTTTCCCCCCCGAGATCTTCTCCCTTGACCTCCCTAAGATCCTTCCCCTCTTTTCCGGTTGAAATCCTTTCCCTCTAAGGCCTTTTCCCCCCAGATCTTCTCCCTTTCCTCCCTAAGATCTTTCGCACCCTTTCCCTGTTGAGACCCTTTCCTCCCTAAGGCCTTTCCCCCCCTGAGATCTTTCTCCCTTTTCCTCCCTAAGATCCTTCCCCTCTTTTCCGGTTGAGATCCTTTCCCCCCTTTCCCCCCTAAGTCCTTTTCTCCCAGATCTTCTCCCCTTTCCTCCCTAAGATCTTCCCCCCCCCCCCCCCTTTCCTCCCTAAGATCTTTCCCACCCTTTCCCTGTTGAGATCCTTTCCCCCCTTTCCCTCCTAAGGCCTTTCCCCCCCTGAGAGCTTCTCTCTTTTCCTTTCTAAGATCTTTTCCCCCCTTTGATTGTTGGCCTTTTTTCCTCAGATCTTCTCCCTTTCCTCCCTAAGATCTTCTTTTTCCCCAGATCTTCTCCCTTTCCTCCCTGAGATCGTTCCCCCCCTTTCCCTGTTGAGATCTTTTCCTGTCTTTCCCTCCGTTCCTTCACCAGCATGGGCAACATCCCCAGGATCACTTGCATCATCCGCATCCTTGGCAGGCGCTGATGCGGATGATGCAGGTGATGCTGGCGATGTGCCGCTTGAGCTGCCAAGGATGCGAAAGCGGACCCGGGGGGAATCGAACACCCCAATGTTTTTGAAACTGAGTTGCGCAAGCCCGCGCAATGAACAGATTTAGTGAAGCGTCTTCGAATCACCGCGTGGTACGTGGATCCTCCCCCCCCCCAGCTCATTGCTTCTGTCAGGACTGATCAGCCAGGAAGCAGGCGCAGGCGAAAAAAACGGCAAGGCCATTTCTTGCAGATCGGCCCGTGTTGTCTTGAAGACTTTGCCCTTTACTGTTGTGATCGCTCAGATAGAAAGCCCTTGGCCTTTTCCCGGAAGCCGAAGGACTTAAAGAAGCCGCCTTGGAAAGAAGCCCAGAAGATGGAGAAGCAGCAGGCAAAGTCGGGGGTGCCGTTTCTGTTGATGGGCTGAAGCCACATAGTGTCGGAGTTGCTTTGGCGTAAGTTGATGGGCTGAAGCCACCCATGTTTTGACGCAAGGAGCTGGAAGCCCCAGCGACCGGGGAGACGGGGCAGAGGAGGAGAAGGTTGCGCCTGGAAGCGCGGACGTCAACAACGACCTCCCCTTCACTGAGGATGAAAGGGCTGTTGCGGCGGCGGCAAAGTTCAGTGTCAAGCGGGCCAGAGACGGCGTGGAGCACTTTGTCTTCAAGCACACGGCTCCGTAGGGGCCCGGCAACCTCCACGTTCTACCCCTCCAAAGAGACAGCGGCAAGGGCAATTCTTGCTTGGGCGGGGAAGGACTGGCCCAACAGAGTGGCAGCGGCGCAAGCAACAACTGCTGCTGACCACGCGAAGACAGCCCCCAGCGCCAAGGCCGTCTCCATGGTGGACCCAATGACTCCGCAAGAGGCCGGCGCTGTGGCGTTCGTGCGCTTTTCAAAGAGAAAAACCCGGAGCAATGTTGTTATGTGGGTTTTCCGGTATCGGCACCCATGGGGCCCGGGCGGGAAGCTGAACCAGAGTGCCTGGTACAGCTCCAAAGAGATGGCGGCCAGGGCCATCGTCTTGTGGGCTGGGGGGAGGTGGAGGGAGCGAGTGGAGGCGGAGGAGAGCTCGCTTGTTGCGTGCATCCCGGCACAGCTCCAGGCCGCGGAGGAGGAGGCCAGGCTGACCCATGTGGCCCAGCTGTACCGGTGCGTGGACTTGGAGCAGGTGCGAGCCGACACTTTGGGAGTCCAGCCGACCGTGGTGGAGGATGACTGGCTGCACAAGCAGTTGGCGTTGGCAAACTTGCAGGACAAGGAGGAGGAGTTCAACTGCTTGATCGACATCTTGTCGCAGGACCTGAAGTCGGAGACAGCCTTGCTCGGCCGGCGCGACATCCCAGTCCTTCTGCTCAACGAGCTGCAAGACAAGGGGTCCCTGCACTGCGACTGCGCCCTTGTTCACCACCAGGAGCACTTTGTCCCGTTCTGGACAACCGGCTACGGGCTTGCCTACCGCTCACGACCGGGGCTGCCGGCAGAGTCGCTGGCCTTCCAAGGGCCGTTTGTGGAGCTGGCCCAGCAGCTGCGCTGCCACTTGGATGTGACCTGCAGGGCGGCCGGCGACTGCGCCTTGCACGGCGCGCTCATCCTCCTGGAGCTGGCGGAGAGGTCAGCCATGCCTGGCAAGGGGGGGTAACAGGTAAAGAGGTAAGGAGCATTTCTTATGTCCAACACGCCGTCTGTTGTCGGCGGATTTTAGGGATGCGGATGGGCACTTAAAGGGATTAATGTTGGGGAGTGAATAATAAAGGCCCCCCCCCCCCCTTCAAACAAAATTGGGGGGGTCAATAGAGGAAACCTTAAAAACAAAATGAGGGTCAGACCGGGTCTTCGCTAAGTAGTATTCCAGTAAGTGTTGGTTAGTATTGGTTTAGTATTGGTTTAGTATTCTTGCTGACTGGCTTAGTACTGCTTGGAATTGGTTTAGTATTGGTTTCGTATTCTTGCTGACTGGCTTAGTACTGCTTGGAATTGGTTTAGTGTTGGTTTAGTATTCTTGCTGACTGGCTTAGTACTGCTTCGAATTGGTTTAGTATTGGTTTAGTATTCTTGCTGACTGGCTTAGTACTGCTTAGAATTGGTTTAGTGTTGGTTTAGTATTCTTGCTGACTGGCTTAGTACTGCTTCGAATTGGTTTAGTATTGGTTTATATTGGTTTAGTATTCTTGCTGACTGGCTTAGTACTGCTCAGAATTGGTTTAGTATTGGTTTAGTATTCTGGTTGACTGGCTTAGTTTAGAATTGGTTTAGTATTGGTTTAGTATTCCCTGGCCCCAGTCCTAAAAAACTTTTCTCAATTAACTCCCCTTAAGCAAATCTCATTATTGGCTTCCTGGGTGTTCCCTGTACTACCCCCTTGAACATTTGGCAGGGTGCAACTTTTAGTAAGGGCTGTCATAAGAATTTGGCTGTTGGGGCCTCAGTTAAACTTCCTTTTCTGGGGGAACTCAGTAGTTCTTTGGAAAGGGAAGCCCTTTTGCCTGCAGGCATCCCCGGCCCCAGTCCTAAAAACTTTTCTCAATTAACCCCCCTTAAACAAATCTCATTATTGGCTTCCTGGGTGTTCCCTGTACTACCCCCTTGAAAATTTGGCAGGGTGCAACTTTTAGTAAGGGCTGTCATAAAGAATTTGGCTTGAGACCTCAGTTAAACTTCCTTTTCTGGGGAGACTCAGTAGTTCTTTGGAAAGGAAACTTCCTTTTCTGGGGAGACTCAGTAGTTCTTTGGAAAGGGAAGCCCTTTTGCCTGCAGGCATCCCCGGCCCCAGTCCTAAAAACTTTTCTCAATTAACCCCCCTTAAACAAATCTCATTATTGGCTTCCTGGGTGTTCCCTGTACTACCCCCTTGAAAATTTGGCAGGGTGCAACTTTTAGTAAGGTCTGTCATAAAGAATTTGGCTGTTGGGGACCTTACTTAAACTTCCTTTTCAGGGACTTCAATCATCATCTCCTTGTTGGTGGTGGTGGTAGGTTGGGGGGGGGGGGCGGGCGGGGCAGAGAGAGACAGGAGTTGCACTGAACTAGGGATTAATTATCAAACTTTTTTTGAGGGGGGAACATGTTTCCGGATTTTTTGCCCCTCACAAAAACTGTTGTGTATTAACTCCCCCTTTTGCTTTTCAGGGGTGTGAATAATTTTGGGTTTTTTTGTGTATTGACTCCCCATTTATTATTCGCAACCTAACATTAAGGTTCACCTTGCGCAAACACAGCGGTAACAGGGGGTTACTTTTGAGGAAGCCGCAGCAAGAAACTCCAATGAATCCCGGGATGCGGCACGCTGTGTGAAACCAAAAGTGGAAGTTTGATCTATGTGTAGGTCTGGCCGTGTGTACCCCCAGACCCTGCGCTTCGCCGTATGTGTACTTCCAAGCCCTTAAGACGGCGAGGGCTTCTTTTGGTTCCCATCAAACTTGGCAATCCAAGAGCAGGATTACTTAAATGACCCCTTCAAAAGCATCGCGCCACCAAAAGAAGCTTAGTTGAACGTGGCTCAGCAGATGCTTGAACTTGAGTCATCCAAACATATTGAGAAATAAGAAGCCCCCCTTTCTTGGCTTCGCACGCGAAAGAACGAACGGCCCAGGAAGCTGTTCACGGATCACATGCAGAGATACTCGCAGGAGTTCAGCGAGCACCTGTGGCTGAAATTGGAAACAGTGCAAAGGGCCAACTGGGGGCCCGTCTTTTTTTGGAGGGTACCCGTGTTTGGGGGGGGGGGCTGTATCTGTTTTTCAAGGGTACCCATGTTTGGGGGGTGGGAGGGGGGGTTTAAGGGAAGGCACGCCCAATTTCAGATTCTGTTTGGATTGCTATGGGCTTGCATATCGTGGTGACATGAATCCCAGCCTATTGATGTCCTCCTAAACGGTGTCTTCCCCATCCGAATTAAAGATGGTAAAGGAAGACCCCCCCAAACCGTACAGCCACTGACTTGAAGGTTTCCAGGTGGATTTGTCTCAAAGTGCAACAAACCCTCAACTTAACTTGATTGGTTTCTCGTTGGTTTCCCTTTAAGACAGCCGTGCTTTCCCTGCCAACAGAGAAAGACCAGTTTGCGGCACTGGCAGGATATCCCCAGCAACAAATTGCCCTTCCACTTGGCACACGCGGATGGCCCTTGAAAGTGGAGTTGTGTTACAGATGATTTGTCAGTTTCTCTCATCCTTTCTTTTTCCCAAGAGCTGAAAGCTTTGGGGTCTCAGCCCAGATAGGCTCCGGGGTGGTCCGGGGCGGCCCTGAGGTAAGGTTCCACGAGGGTTGAACCAGGGTTGCACCAGGGTTCCACGAGGTTCTGCGAGGGTTCCACGAGGTTCTGCGAGGGCTGCGGAGAGAGCACTAAAAAGAGCACCGCATGCTGTTGGGGATCTCACCTGAGCTTATTTGTTTGGGGGGGGCTGAGCTGAACATCACCTTCTGCTTGCCGGATTTTTTTGTTGGGTGATATGTGTGATGCTTGAAAGGGAGACGCGGGCCTGACTTCCGCAAGCCGTAAGCTGAGCTGGGCAAGTTGACAAGGGGTGGGTTGTGGGGCCCATGAAGATCCCAGAATTGGATTCCTCCATTGACCCACGCCTGGTTTCGTGATACTTTGTCGCGTCTCAGCTGGTTTTGCCAAATCCCGGCTGCTTTTCCTTGAGTCAACCATCCCTTTGAAAAGGCGGTCGTTTGTTGTCCCTGGCCCTGGCTTGGTGAATCGGAGCAAGCAGGAATCAAGCAAACTTGCTGTATCCCGTATCACCCGATAGCAGCACATATCTCACGCCAGCAAAGTACCGCAAAGACAGAGAAAAGGAGAAAGAACGAGAGAAGAGAATCGGAGCTGACTGTTGACGGCAATGTCTATTTATTGCCTACACCGAACTGGTTGTTCAAAGTCTATCCTAGATCCTCAATCCTGACGCCCATTCCTACCACGGGTTCCAGATTCGGAGTAGATATCCCCATTTGAACTGCCTATGCCATTCAAACGGTTGTATCTAAGTCTTTGGGCTCAGGTACAAAGAAAAGACTTCGGACCAGCTGCAGATCCTCGCCATCCTGAACCGCAGGCTGAAAGAGGCAAGGCACGAGTCACAGATTGAAGAAGGATCTATGTCAGCAAGTGACAAGCAACAAGCTTACCCGGGTAAAACGAGCCGACGCTTGATCAACTTGGCTTCCGAACATTTCGGGCTTGTGAGTCACGAATTGTTAATCTGGACGCTGTCCATCAAGCCTTGCCCCGGCGCGATACCACCGCCGAACTGTCAAAGCTGAAACAGGCTTGAGAGACTGTGCACGAAACGCAAGTGCGGCGCAAGGTTTGACCATGTCCATGTTTCGACAGCTTTTGCTGCTGCCCACGCCTGTGAAATTCGTGAGTTTAAAGGCTGATGTTGCTTTAAGTTAATTTAAGTTATCTTTTGGGGTCTAAATGGTGGGGCGAGGAGTTGCCTGCGGACTGCGCCGTGCACGGATGAAAAGAACGTGCAAAACACTCAGCGAATTTGGCGGTGCGCAAGAGCGGCGCAAGCCCGCACAGGAAACCTTTGGAGCTTGCAGGTGTCGTTGCTTGCGATTGAATCCTCCCTTGGACAACGTGGACAAGCCGGGCCTCGGATGTGCCGAGGCTTGCCCACACTACATGTTGCAAGGTTTCGGCTCCACTTGCAAGAGCTCAAGCTTGTCATTGCTTCTTGAACGGCTCTCACAAGGAGGATGCCCGAAAACTGTCGCGCAAATGCGGCGATGGGACCTAAACTCGGGGAAGCAGTAATATTGGACAACACCTGGCTGAGCCTGTGCGTGCTACACTTACATTTTGCCATGTCGTCCTCGGGGCCAATCATTTAGTTTGCTTGCTCCCCTCGCTTGATCATTAGGTGGTTGTCCCGGTTTTTCGAATTGACCCATGTCACAGGCGCTCCCCTACCCCCCCCCCCCCCTCCCTCTCCAATTCAAGGTTTATGAGGGCCTTTGAGGAGAACCGCGTTCGAGGCGCATCCCATGACTTCCCTCCGATCTCCGCAGGCCTTGCGACACATGGAGCAGGAAAGGCAGCGCCACGCTGAAGCGCGGGCCAAGCCCAGCCCTCGCATCGGCGAGGTGGAAGAGGTTGGAGACCCGGCCCGTGTCTTTGGCAGCGGTTTCTGAGTCCCCTAACTGGGGTCTCCTCCAAAAGGCTATACATTCTACGCTACACGTGAAACATTAAATTCAAGATTACTTTTTGGCGGCCCTTTTAAGCCAGCGAACATGCATGTTTGTGTCCACTTCAGTCCACCTCGATGATTGTCGCAGGGAGGGTCATGCGCCACTTGCTTGAGCAGTGCGCGGAACTCTGAAACAAAGCCGCATCGGAAACAGTGTTCGCAGTAGTTTGTAGCTTAGACTTGTGTAGTGTTTTTCTTCTTGGGGGGAGGTTAGTGCGAATCTGTTTTGTTTGAGGGGGGGCACTTTTTCAAATGTTCAAACCTTGCCTGAAATGGAACATAGTCTTGGTGAGGTTAGCATTAATCGGGGGAGCATCAATGAAGTCCCAACATGAATGTCAACCCAAGATTAACAAACCTAATTAATCAAGCGGGCAAACAAAGGCGGAACATTGGAGAACGACCTGCTTTGGTTTCCCTTCATGGATCGATTTTCAATCCATGCTGGTCGGGTAAAGCAACCCTGAAGACTGTGGTGCGGTTGGTGGTTCTTTCGCAGCTACATGCGTGGAACCAGCACAGAAGACCATAGTTTCCACCGCTTCCATGCCCTTGAAAGACTAAAAGGGCAATGGCAGGCCGACTGGGATCCACTTGTTCTTTAGTATTTCGGCCCCATTGGACCGAAGGCAATCAAATGTGCCGGCCTCGCCGCCAGGAAATAGAAGAAGAGGACGGGCTCAAACCTGTTGGTAGCACAATGCCGAAGCTGCAAAGTGACGAAGATATTGCAAGTCCTCGTTTCTCAGCGGCAGCCAGTTTTTTGTTTGCCGGATGACTGGCACTTTCAAATCCACTGTTCAAAAAGGCAAGCTGGGCACTTGGCCCCTGGGCAAGAAGGAACTCGTCTTGCCAGGTTTGCGCAAATTATGCCAGCTCACCGATTGGTCTGAAATGAGCTCACACTTGACGCCACTTGAAGCTCTTGTTTCTCCACTGCCATTGCTTCCCTGGCGCTGGCTCATATAAGAATATGCACATATATATATATATACATTGCGATACTTACACTCGTTGGAAGAATCACTCTGAATCGCTCGCACTGGCTTCCCCATGAATTGGTTGACACGGACGGCATGGTTAGTTCCTACTAGAGGCTAAAGCCTTGGGTCGAAGGGACTCAGACCTGAAGTGGGCCTTATCTGTTGGAACAAGGACGCCTGACAACAGGGAAACCTGGACAGTGTTCCTCAAGAACCGTCTGGCGGTTTCCATGCGGACGGGAGACCAGGCCATGGCTTGGCAGTAGGCAAAGTCGCAAAGTTATGCGAGGGGTGGGTTGTGACCATTGCTGAGTTTCTTCATTTGGGCAGGCCAGTTTCAGGGCACAAAGGTCATAGGCCCGCAACGCCCCTCAGATTCTAAGTTATTTTCTGGGATCCACCGTGCTCAAGTGGTAGCCGTGCCATCATCTCGTAACCACTTTCCTCGCCTCCCAGCACCCCAAGATTCAAAGGGGGTTTATTCAGAACCTCTCCTACTGAGTGGTGGAGCCTTTGGTGCCGGCGGAACTGCTTGACCAATCTGGATGCGACAATATTCAGAGCAGTTTCACATGACATGATAGTACCACATTTGTAGGGCACACAGGCCCTGTTTTGCTAGTTTATAGCAATCTTAAGACCTAGCCCTCCCTCTCACAACGGAAGTGGACGCGCAGTTAGCAAATGAGCGTCTTCCTGAAATTCCCACTCAGATTCCACGAGTTGGGAGTGGTGCCTTTGCGAGAGGGTCGGTCACGGTCGGTCACTTCACGCTAAACTGGGCCCGATGGTTCAGAGATACTCGGGGGTTGGTGGGGGGGGGTCAAATCCTCAAGCCATTCATAGCGCCACAAGCGGATGTTGTGACCTCACCAGTTATGAAGCTTCCTTTCACAGAAAGTCCTTCTTTTCATCAACTTCAATCTTCAATGGACTCAGACCATTCCAAACCATATGGGGATGGGGGGATGTGTGCGGTTTCTGGTGAAACGGACATCCGCCAGGAGGCCTTTGAGCCCTACGTGGAGAGCGCAGCCCCCGCCTACCGCACGGACGCATCTCGGCCGTGGCTTTCGGTTCGCAAATTGGAACCACGCGTGTAAAAAACCACAAAGTTGAATTGTCCTTTTGTCTTTTGCTTTGCCAGGGACCAAATTTCTACCCTGTTGAGGAATTGTGAGTATCGGGAAATTGCAGCAAGCCTGTACAGGAGTCATGCACATAAAGCCCATTTGGGTCATTTCCCAACAGTGTAATCTTAGGAGGCAATACACAAACGCCCGCACGCACGCACGAATGCAAGACACACGCACACGCTCGCACGCACGCATCCATGCACCGCAAGGTCGCGCACGCCCAGAACTGCGATGGGGAAGTATTGCCCCGTGCAATGGAATAGGAGGGGGGAGTTGCACTTCTTCGCTTGTTGGGAAGACCAGATGAATGGACATGGCTTAAGATGCATCAGACCCGATATCAACCAACAATGTCCCTCAAGCGCTGTTTGCGTGTTGGGCTGGAAACGGGTGCTTGCGCTTAGTCCAGGGTAGTTACTCCTGGCGCTCACGTAGACCCTGAGATTTGGAGGGTCCGGGGGGGGGGGGAGGTGGAGCATTTCATGCTAGGGTTGTGGAAAGGTTCCGGGGGCTCCTGTTTGCGCACTGGGGTCCCAAGGTGGCTGGGGACCCAAAAGCTGATTGGTGATCATACAACCCTAATCAAGGATTTGTTGGGCAGAAGCCCCCACCAGAAGGCAGGGTAATAGATGATTATCTTGCTTGACTTTTTGGTCGACTACACCGACCGGGTTTTCCGCCCAGGATATGGGCATGGACACGGCCTGGCGGGACTACAAGATCAGCAACTTCGAGCCCGGGACCTCGGTGTTCGGAGCCTCGATTCGGCGACGAGTGACCACTTTGGTTCGTAGGGCTAGGAGTCTAGAAACACGCTGCCAACGGAAGAGGAACCGAATGGAGGGCAAAGCGCGGGGGGAAATTGCAGGAATGCTACTGTGCTTTGGAATGCTGTGAAGTTTGTGTGGTTTTACTCATTTGCTCAAGCCGAACTTTGGAACTTGCTGGGTCTGTGGGCAAGTGAGTAGAGTGAAGCATCCGCTGGAAACAACACGCTTGTGCACAGATCAATGAATTTAGGTTTCTTCAAAATGTGTGGTCTTCCCTTTTGGATTTGACCTGTCGTGGCAGCCACTTTGAGTTTGCGTGGTTCACTCAAGTACCGTAGCACTGTGTGTGGAGCAGTGGACGCTTCCAGTTTTGGTTGTCCTGTGGTGCGGTTGGCGGTTGTGCTCCTTGTGATTCTCAAGGTTTGCCTCACAAAGAGCGAGGCCTGTGGGTTGCAAGTTGCTTGGTGGTCAGCAAGCTGCATAGCCCGCCCCGGGACGATGGCCATGGGACCAAGAGGCGCTGCTGACTGCTGCAGCGCGCAATTATTGGCCCCAATGCCAAGCTGAGTCACGATCAAATCAAAACCTCGTACCACTTACTGCTAGCATTGCACAGAGAACCAGGAGGGCGGCAGCTGGCTGGGACTGCCCCCCAATACCCAGCATTGGTGCGGTGATTCAACCAGCGCAAGCTCCACGTGAAGCACGCCGGGGCTCAGATGCCTCGCGACGTATGGATCCTGATTGAACGGCGCCAAACATGAGCAGACCAAGCACCCACTTGCCTCTTGCAGCAAGGCTTATGCTCAAAGACCATGTTTTGGACTTCAACTTGTTTGGTCCGCAGCAAGTGTTCACTTAGAAATAATCATCAGGATGAGGTCATCCCTGATAACCTAATGTGATCAATAGAGTCTGTTTCCATCTTGGGATCGTGGGTCACTCTTTCTCAGATGCTTAGCAATTTCGGACCTTAAAGTGTTTCTTTTTCTTTTTTGTTTTTCTTCGGGTTTCTTTAAAGGGTTCTCATTTTCCTGCTGCGGGCGGTGTTCTCTTTCAAAGGACCCAGATAGACAATCAAACGTCAAGGCTTGAAGATTCGCCAAGTGGTTCCTTGGTTTCCAAACCCGAAATCGAATCACCAGGTTTCTCGGGCTTTTGTTGCTCACTCCGAGGCTGGATCTGCCTGCCAAGCCACCGCCCAAGTTCAAGGCCCGGGGTTGAAACGAGCACCCCTGTCAAATTGCTGGACCCGTTGGGCGGATTCTAAGGGAAACCAAAAGGGACAAATCAGCTTTGGGGTCCCCATGTTTAGAGATACCCATTGGTGCCATGGTCGAAGACCAGTTCCTTTGCGTGGTGTCAGCAAGGATGACCATCAACCTCTGAAGAGGGCTTTCGGCTGCAGCGGAAAGGGTTGCGATGAACGGAGCCATGAAACAGATATTGTGTTGTGTTTCCGAGTGTCTTGACGGGAAGCGATTAGGAAAAGAAGCGTGCTTGGGTCCCGCTATTTTCACACATGTGTTGGCGATGGTGTACATGGAGCCCAGAAAGCCAGGTAAGCAGCGTTTTTTCTCAGATGATGGATTTTAGCTTCGTGGGGAACTCCCAAAAGGTCCGCGAAGGCACTTGTGTGATATATTGTGTACCGCGAAGCCACTTCGCGTAGCCCGGTAACATTGACACAGGCGAAGGCACTTCGCGAAGCCACTTCGTGGTTTGAGCGTGTTGCGTGCTTTCATGGCAAGTGTGTTGTGCGGTTTCATGGCAGTAGTATTCCAAAGGTTGATGTTTAGAGTCAGCAAGCTACGACAAGATTACAGGAAGATTACGGGAAGACGACCGGAAGAGCACTGTACGTTTCAGGCCCGGTTTGGCTAGAAACGATGGAACGTTTTCGCGAAGCCTCTGCGAAGCCCCCGCGAAGCCCCCGCGAAGCCTCCGCGAAGCCACCGCGAAGCCACCGCCGTCCAACTTCCATGCTCCGCCCCTTTGAGGCCCAGCCATGTCCCCTAGGCCTGAAGCTCAATGTCTCTCTTGCCGCCTTTCATCGCCCCCTTTCGCATGGACTCAACTTGATGCAACAACATGGGAGCGCAAACGTCAGAGATGTTTGTGTCCGCGAAGCCCGGCGAAGCCACTCCGCGAAGCCACAGTCTTGCCGCGAAGCCTTGCGAAGCCAACCTTTCCACAAATTCTGGCCCGCGAAGCCCCCCGCGTAGCCTACCCAGCTGTGTATAAGCCCTGAACCTCTTAAAAAACAATGCTCAGGTGGGCCCTGCCAGATGACTGGTCGGGTCCTTTTCAACATGAACCACGGTTTCCATTGTCACACAGCCACATAGAGGACGCATGTGGACAGAGCCAACCGTGCTTGGTCGTTAGACTTCTCAAAGCCGATCATTTTTTGGTGAAGGCTCCAAAGCGTATTACCCTCATTCGAACGATCATAGAAATGGGTTCCGGTGGCTTCTCCAATAGTCTTAAGGTGGAAACACTTGCACTTGCTTCTACTAGACCGAAGGTTCCCGGGCCTTGATTGTGCGACTCTCACGTGCCAGGTGGAGCGCGTGCGCCGCGTGCTGCCCATGCCAGCGCCGATTCCAACGATGGAGACTCCGCGGCCCATGCGTTTGCTGCAGCTGCCAGCGGTGAGCCCTGCACTAGGCGTGCAGTTTTATTTTGTTTGACAAGCACAAGGGGAGGGGCAACCTCACCATGGTTCGGTTCAGTTCACCAGCGCCCAATTCTTGGTGATTTTTTATCATTCACCCAGCGTTCTCTTCGGTGCCTGGGTGGTGCTGCCAACCCCAAGGAGGCCACGAGATCGGGGGTGCGCTGGCTTGTCCTCCAAGTTGCAGGTTTGGATTTGCACGGGCTGCCCCGGGCCTTTGATAGTTGGGTTATAACTTATAACCCTTTGGGATGCCAACAGCTAGGGGTCTAACATGGTGCCGCGGGCCTGGCCGTAGGGTTTATGGTAACCGTCAGTCTGTACCGCCCGGTCCATGGTTGGTGGACGTCCCCTCCGGTGTACCATTTCCACCACATGGAGATTTCGCTCCATGAGCCTCACCAACTCTGAAAGTGGCATTTCCTCTACCATTTTGCCAAATGATGGAAAGAAGAAAGTGTGGTTGTCCAAGAGATGAATTGAGAGAAATAGAGACACCTTAGGTCACCTTAGATTCAATCTTGTTCCAACATTGAGCCAATGACATAGCCAACCAATATTGGATCCACCAGTTGCCCCTCCCCGTCCCCGGCAGGCCAAAACACGCCCAAAACCATCCTCGAATCCTCAAGCACAGAATCTGATTTAGGGGATCCTTTTGCAAAGCACGTGCTTTTGAAGACGAAACTAACTTGGTGAGCTTGACTCTTCGCAACATGAACGTTTGGAGGTCTATGCGATCCATCCCAGAGTCAGCCTACGAGTTCAAGAATGTTTCATTAAAGATGGTAAGTTTCCTAGCGGGGCCCTGCTTTTCTTGACCCCCGACCTGGTTTTGGTTGCCCACAAGCCAACAGATAAGCAGCAGGTGAAAAGACTTGGAGGTGGAAAAACAGGGTCTCCTTTCAACCTTGGTAGCTGGGCTATGGACAAGTCACTGCCCACTTTGAGCTTCCGCTTCCCCTGCGAGGTGGGATTCTTTCACCTCGACCGAGGCATGGGCAAGGGTTTTCTATTTCCCAGCGGGCGCCGAGTGTTACCCAAAGGGGATAGTGCCTATCATGCTTCCCGGGATGAGAATCTGTGACATTCTGAACCCCTTCCCAAGAGGTGCAACAAGGACTGAAAAGGCCCACCAACGCACTATCAGCCCCCCGCGATAGGGGAACTGCTTATTGAGGGGCAGCATGGAATATTCGCGCATGTTGTGACATGAGGCTCTTTTTGTTGTTGTCTCTTCCCTGAAAAGGGGCAATTCCGGAAATTAGCATCAACCCCTCCCCCCCCCACATGTAGGATTGTGGGAACTAGGGGCATTGGGAAGCGCAAAGTGCCCTTTCATTGATTTCGAAGTTTCTCACTGCATTCTGGAGTGTGAAGTCTCAAGTTGTCAAAGACCCGTGCAGCCATATATCGCTGCGGACAGTTTGCCCAGCGCACTCAGGGAAGAAAATGAGCCCAACTATTGTTTCATGGGGCCAGCCAGCCATGATGAAAGATCAATGGACCATATCTTAGTTTTGGGGCTCTGGACCCCGGCACGCATCTTGGCTAGAATCCTGGGAAAGTTCCTTTCGAAGAAATCACATGTTTCTTGTTTCCCAGTTGGATTTGGCTTGCACATGCAATGGAGTGTGGACGGCCATTCCAGTTGTGGAGCCATAAGTTTGACGAGTTTTGCTGGGTGTCCCTCGCAGGCTGGCGTAGAGACGTGTTTTATTTTGCCCAAATAAAATGGTGGAATGGCACAAAGGGCTGAATGATCACACTTTTCTCTTATATTCAGGGCTTATGTATGTTAAAGCAGCCCATGACCGCTTTCTAGTTGCTGAACCCCGGACATCACCATTCATGTGTCGCCATTGTGTAGAGATGGTTGGGTCAGCCCTCCTGTTTGAACCTTTTGTTTTGGAGGTTCACTAAAACATGGTCAGCTTCAAAAAGGGGCGTCCTTTTTTTCAGCCAGGGGCAACTGGGGGAAAACCCAGGCAATTGAACCTTCCTCAAGCAGGAGCTAGGAGCATATCAAAGGTTGCCCCCCCAGAAGACCCTTTCTGCTTGGCATTTACAGGAATGCCACAAAGGACATCAACCACTTTAGGGCTCGGTGCGCATCGATTGCATCCTGTCAACTGGAAGGCATGTGGAAAGCTGGCCCTGTGGGAAACACTCAGTTATCAAGCTAGATTGGGCAAGGCTTCCAAGAGCTAGGCGAGTTGTGTTCGGGAAGTTAAGTTCGGGCTATGTCGGCCTGTTGTCCCATCATGACTGGTTAGTGTGCCAATCAATGTAAATCAGGGGTTTGTAGCAGGATACGGGGAACAACCTCACTCAACATATTTGCTTTGAAGTGGGCTTTGCTGATTTTGGGTTGGCGAATTCACAAAGTTTCAAGGTAAGAGTCGTGCCCAGGTCGTACCTCTAGGCACGCCACCCATTTAGTCCTTCAAGGCCAACTCGGGCAAATAGACAGAGGGGCACGGCCTCAAAGGACATCGGGGACCTGGACAGGACATGTGAAGCACATGTGGTTTTAAGTCTGCGAGGCGTTTTTCAGGGTGGCCCCATGCAAATGCACGGCGTTCTCGTAGTTTGGCTCGCCAGGTGAGGTTCTGCCTGGTGAGCCGGCCTCGCAGGCGACGTCTCTCCGAGCCCAAAGGGACAGAGTCCAAGGTGAAAGCGTACCTTTGGCATGCCAAATCGCCAACCATACAGCTTGTCAAAGACTGCAGTACCCCAGAATTTCCTGACCCGAAAGCAGAAGCATGTTACTTGAGACTTATTCGAGGCTTGCGATACCTTTTGTTTGTTTGGCCCATGGAAAGGATAGGCACTTCAAGGACCTTGCGTCCGGGACATGTGCAGATCAACGGTGCGGGTGTGGGGACTCAACGAAAAGTCGCGAGACACGAGCTGACGCAGAGGCTACCCTTCCTGGTTCCTGGGCATCGCGGGCCCTTTGTCTTTCCAACAGCCATCGTTTCGAATGGGGTTGTGCCTTGCTTGAACCCCACCTCAAGTCATGCGCAGAGAATGATGTGTGTACAATGTGATGCAAGGATTTAGCCTTTTGCAAAGCAGACAGATTCCAGGACATGCTCCAAGAGCTGGCTTCCGTGCCGCGAAAATTGCATGTCGGCAGTTGGCCAATATCGTTTCACGCGGTTCGGCGGCGAAATACTCGCCCCCACGCACCGAGTGCGCGCGCCGCCAAAATGGCCTGAATGCAAAGCGCCAAACGTTGTCTTTGCGCACATTCCTGACATGAGGGCAGATCAGGGAGACACATGTGAAGGCAAGTAATTAAGTTCAAGTGTCCTGCTTGATATGTTCGAGGACGCTTGCTTGGTTTCCATGGTCGTTCATTCACCTATTTTTCTATGGCACTCTTTGAGCCTTTGGATGCCGCAGCATGCACATGGGATCATCAAACATGGATTTTGTTTATGAGACGCGGGTGTCATGTTGTGCCGCCTTAAGGGCCAGTCAACGTTTGGGTCATACCTCAGTTGTTCCCAAGTGGCACACCGGGACTGGCACACCGGGAGTGAAACTGGGCCAAACAGAAAAGCATAGGGGATGGATGCCGCGTCCAACGCACCGGTGGGTCCTTGGGACACCTTTGGGAAAGCGAGCAGAAAGCGGAATCAACCCCTACAACTTTGAGACGCCACGTGCCCATGCTTTTGCTCACTCGCCGCGCAGCACGCCCTTCGTTCCTTTCCGGAGGGCGGCCACGCGGACCCGGCCACTAGGCACTGAGGGCCGCTGAGAGCCGCGGCGGATGTTTCTTCACACTTCGAACGTGTTTTGGAGGGATTTTATTTAAACGCAGTGTCCTTGGAGCATTCCAAGACTGTACACTGACCCAAACCACTTGCAAGTCTTGGCAAGTCTTGGCCATATTGGGTCATGGTGGGTCGGCCAGACTAGAATAGAAGCTTGTTCCTTTGTTCCATGGTTGGGCCTTCGGAAACTGGTCTTCAAATCTTGGACCGTGTTTCTTGCCAAGCAAATGCATGGGGTGGTAGATGGACGTGGGCAAATTATAGCCCTCAGGGAGCTGACTTCATCATGGTGAAGGTTCCTTCCTTGTGAGTCATGTATTTTCAGGCTTGTAATGTCTTATGGTGGACCCGGATGGATGGATTTGGATGGATTCGGATGGATGGTCTCGGGTGGATGGATGGATGGATGGATGGATGGATGGATGGATGGATGGATGGATGGATGGATGGATGGATGGATGGATGGATGGATGGATGGGTGGGTGGGTGGGTGGGTGGGTGGGTGGGTGGGTGGGTGGGTGGGTGGGTGGGTGGGTGGGTGGGTGGGTGGGTGGGTGGGTGGGTGGATGGGTGGGATGGGTGAATGGACGGATACATGGATGCAAGGATACTGTAAATTTGAAATTGATGCATGGATAAATGGATACATGGATGATGAGCTTGGTAGAGAGGCAGGTAGGAAGCTTTGCAGGTTGACAGATGGACATAGGCCGACAGAGAGGCAGGCAGGGGCACTGATAGATACATATATTGTACCGATGGATAGACAAAGTATGATATGACAAGACAAGTCAAGACAGATTCATAGATACATGGACATGCATAGATTCCTGGTATGACAGATAGGTGGTCGAGCAGATAAAAAATAGCTTAGATAGACAGATGGACTGGCCGCTCTCTGCCACGAGCCCCTCGCCGAGACACAGCAAATAGACCCTGAATAGGGATTTGCGTGCACTCTGAGCACAACCAGAGGCCCCAAATGAAGATTCGGCGTTACATGATTCATCACATTCCCTGACATGTACATTTGTAAGTTCCAAGTATTACTACCAAGCAAGTAAGGGTGTCATCGGCAATCCGTTTCTGGGGCATCGTCAACAACTTCAGCGCAATCACCGTTGTTTGAGTGCTCATTGCAGTCGGACAGTGAGTATAAAAATGAACTGAAGGTCCAGGTTCAGAAAACGAACGCACATGTCATGTACATTTATGAATGGGCCTGTCAGATTTGGTGAATGAATGTGTGGATAGCTCTTTCAGCCGAAGCTATTGGCAGACCAATGCAAACATAGTTCAGTTGGTAGGTGGGTTGGTTCGTGAGTAGCGCCCAACGCTTTGCTTAGCATTGCCCCAGGGCCGGCAATGCGGCATGGACGGCCAGACACCAAGCCAGAAGGGAGTGCACACCGGAGTGGGGGGCAGAGGTCTGGCAATGCGGAGGGATGCCAGCCTGATGTTTTGCAGGATATCCTTCTGGGGCGCTTATAGTTGCAAGGGACATCAAACAGATATCCACAATTGTTGGGGGTCACACATAATATGCACATGTGCCGAAATTTGGATGTGCGACGTTTGATCCCAAGCGCTTTGAGCCTGGAACACCTGTGCGCTCAACACACGAGGGTTGGCTTCTGCATTGTAAGGTATGTGGAGGGTTGGCTTCTGCATTGTAAGGTATGTGGTCAAGCCAATTTGGAAGTTGCCGTCCTCATACTTGGCAAGCTGGATTTGCGCATGTGACGTAAGATTTGGTATCATTTGGCTGTAGCCCTGTATGGGCAGCGTTGGCGTCTTGCTTTGATGCGGGAGCATCCGAAGCAGGTTGGAAGTGTGTCCAGCTCATTTGACAGATTTGGAAACGGCCTGATTCGAGGTTTCTCGTGGCGCCATGTATGTGTTGTTCTGTTTGTTTGCCTACCACTCATGGATCACAAGATGGATCTGCTTGGGCTGTGGGGAAACGTCACTCTATCCAGCAGCATCGGTTATACCCATCAAATATTATACTGTGCTGGGCTCACCATCGAACACCCCAGGTATTTTAGAGACCTTTCATTTAACACCCAGATGCGTCTACGGAGGCGTGACGCGGCTTTGCGGGGGATGGTTGGCCAGTTGCAGCCGCGCTTGCCGATCGAATCCGATCGAATCCGATCTATGCGATTCGCATCGCAGAGATGCCGGCCTTCCGCACAGAGCACGGGGAAAGAGTAAGTCTGGGACCAGTAGTTCGACAGTTTCGGGGGGGGATGGTTCACAGTGGCCGTTCCCTCATTTCCAGAAATCAGCTGTGCCCATTCCTTCGCGGCGATTTTCGGCTCGAAGCGGTTGTATGTGCTTTGCCGGCCGCACCGGCGATCGGCATTGCAGCGATTCACGGCACACCGTGACTCGCAGGCCTGACTGATTCCGGTGCGACCGGCACGAACATCACGTTAGCACGCACGTACATACATATGTATATATATATATAATATATATACACACTTGTTTGTTTATGTACATATATAGATAAACATTTGTGTGTGGTTGTGTGTGTGGCTCTTCTAGTGCCAGGGTGTGGTTACTGTTCCTGCTGATGCTGCTGGTCTTGCTGATGCTGATTCACATGCTGATGCTGATGCTGATGCTGATGTTTTATCCGGCATCTATTGTGACACATGGAATTCAGAAAGCACTCGAATGACTGCTGGAAAGTGGCCCAACTCATCAAATGCTGTCAATTGGCAACAACAGGCCTATTGCTGGTAGCTTGTGCCAGTAGTTGACATGTCAAAATGCGTTGCCTGCCAAAATGAGCACTTTCAGACCATAGTGCTTCTACTTAATGTCGACCCATGGTGGTTTGAACATGCCCCGAGTCTCGGAGTGTTGGCCAGGGGCGTTTAAGCCTTGCTGCTTGGGGAAGGCTTGAAGATGCTTGAAACAAAGTCATAGAGACAACAAGGATTCCTGCAGAGTTTTGGGCGGATTACAGCGGCTTCGCAAGGGAGGTTTGCAACCTCATCCATGCAGGTTCCTTTGATAGGAGCTTTGTTGCAGTTGAGGGGGTACGATTGTTCATGCACATAAGGTTAGAGGGTTCGTCATGGTTGCTTTTTCCGCGCTCGATCCAACTCCACAGTCCTTGCAGTACCTCTCTCCGGCCGGATCGGGATGCGCTCTGCGCCCGGCTTCCAGGCAAACATCGGCCGAGATGCGCCCTGTACAAGTGGCTTCCCGCGCAGCCCGCGGCTCTCGAAGGCAGGAACTGTCGGAAAGCACCTCTTGGAAAGACGATTTGGGCGTGTGTTTTTTGAGGGCACCGACCCCCTCGTGCTTGGTTTTAGGGACACCAATCACATTGCGGATCCCTCATTCATCCTCGGTCTTCCCCAGTGCCGGCTGCTTCTCTTGTCGCTGAGGCTAGGCCGAATATGCATAGACCCATGGGCGTGTGTCTGTTGATTCGCTCGCTGTTTCAAATGGAAGACCAAGACAAACCCACCAGCTCTCTTGCGACCATTTGTATCCTCACCCCGAGAGAGAATGTCTGCCCCCATAACGACACCCCCCGCCCCCAGATTAACATGGAACCCAAGTCATTTGTTTAGGAGTCTCCTTGTGCCCCTCCCTCTTCGCCTGGGGGTGCCGGGCCCCACAAGTACAAGCAATGATGCAAGCTGACGGGTGTTTTGCCTTGAAGAGATTTGTCCACCAGTTGCTGCCACTCCAGAGGGCCACAGCTACAGGAAAGAAATGAGTTGTGCCTTTGGGGAGCGGATTTACCCAGCCTGCATATGGGTCTGTCGTTTTTTTCCGGGGACCCCCCCCAAGTCTGGTTTCCAATTGGTTTCCCCTTAAGACCACCAAAAAATGGGTAGCCTCGGAAAGACGACACACCCATATGAACCTTGGCAAAAGCCACGGGGCCCCCCTTCATGCCTTGCTTGCTTGGAAGAAAGGAGGTACGCAAAGCGTGT